TCAAAATTTAAAATTCTTTCATTTTACTTCTCACACCATCAATATCTGGAAAATGAAAAAAAAAACAGATAGCATAAATAAATATAAATAAATAATATAATATCAAAAAAATTAATTGTAAAACTTGAACAATTCAAAATTTAAAATTCTTTCATTTAATTCTCACACCATCGATATCCGCAGAATAAAAAAAAAAACAGATAGCATAAATAAATATAAATAAATAAATGATGCAATAATGAGATGTATTGGAGCGATTGGTCGAGATGAACGAAAAGTTGAAAAATCAGTTGAATAATCCTCTGCATCTGTGGCTGCAGTGTTTAATGCTGAATAAAAGTTGTACCAGTCCTGTGGATGGAAATCCATAAATCAGTTGAATGGTGTACGAAGGGCTTGTGTCTGTAACTAACCGAAGAATTACCAGTTGTGTAGCTCACACTATCCAACTTTGAAATGAGTTCCAACCATCGCCTGTCGATATTTCATCCCCTATCTGACGCTCACGTGCGCCCACATTCAACATATGTAGGCCCTCCCCAGATTTAATGTCAATTTTACTTCATCCCCCTTTTACTTTCCCGGCCCTTTGTAGTCCCCCATCGTCACCCCCACCTCTCGGCTCTATTCTTCTCAGAAGTTGTTTGCAGAACGTGAAACTGTCTGTGTCATTCACATCGCGTTGTTTCTATTCTAGAATTTCTACAAATTTGTACCCACTTCCATAGAGCTTTCATAAGCTGTCGAGCAAAAGCATTTCGAGTTGAACGATTCAGAGTTTTATGTTGGCAATCGAGATATAGATATCGATATATCCAGTGGACACTGATGGCCGTCATTCTATAAAAATAACTGGAATCATCTTCCTGACGCCGAAAAATGATATTCTACTGTGATAAAGGGCAGAGTGTGTATTACGAGAAAAAAATGGACTCGATTAAAGGGAGCATTTATCTTTCACCGTAGGTAAACGTACGTGTGTTGAACAATGCGATAAGATAAATCCGTTGGGTGGGTAACGAAACCTGGCTTAGGTATATTATTACAGTCGATAGCAAGAACCCCATGCATTCGGAGATATCATCCTGAATTTTCTTACGATTATATCGACCACCACTTTATAACTCATTTATAACACTAAGTCTATTGTTGGAAATATTTCCACCTCGTGGACATGCAGCCGATTGTCACAGGTCACCGACAATAACGAGTGGCTTAGATTGTTTATGACTTAAACAACCGAACACAACATTCCCCCATTTTTTGTCTCAGGGAATTGATTCGCGAATAAAATACCGAGAATATAACCGCGAAGTTCAGTATTTTTCTATTGCAATGGGATTTGGTCACGGTCAGGTATACCCATCTCAATCACTGGATCAATGTCATGTGGATGTACCTGACCCTCGACAAACTCAAATATCTTGGGGCAATCTAGTGGTTCCTCTCGCGAAATGTTGAATGAACTCGCGATGGAGAAAAAAAAACGATTGGAGATGAAAGTATAAAGAGTTGTATTGAGCGACAACTTTAACATACGTCTGGTCTTTTGTTGGGGCCCCCATGAATGGGTGGTGAATGTTAAGTGGTTTCGTCGGTGGTTTTTGACCGGTAACATCTCGATAGCTCGCACTCACCTCAATGTGGATTTACATATTTCTAGGGTAAACGGTTCGTTACGGCCAAGTGTCCGTTCCTTTCCAATTGATACATTCAGCTTTATGACACGATCCACTGAATTATCATTCAAAAATGTTTTTTACAGCTGACGTATTACCATTTCCATATTCATAGTTGCCATTGTATATCGATGGTAATGAATCGAGAGGAAAATTCGGTTTCAACGGAAAGAAAATATGAATTTTAATTCTTTCAGAGTTAAACAACTCACGTTCTGTCGGTTAATGCAAATAATTCATCCATTCGTGCTTGGAAAATAAATGGCCCCTTTTTTGGAATGGATTCAATTTTTTTCATTCAAAATGTCACGTCACTCCGTGGTTGTTCAAATTTTCAAGGGTAAATTACCGAGAGTGTACGACTCCTCGTGTTACATTAAATCGATTCTTCACTCAGAATTATTTAATAAGATTGCCCCTACAATAAACGAATCGATAGAGAGTGCTGGAGTTAATATAAACATATACAATGACTTGCGAGAAAGAGACTGAGAGATCTTTGTCGATAGATGATATTCCTCTGGTCTTCGTGGCCGGTATTTAGTCTAGGACAGCAATTCATTGCGATCAGACGTTCGTCTTCGTATCACATTAATGAGGAACTAACAGAGTTGTTTGAAAATTTAATTCCCTGCGTATCCCTTGGGTGTTTACACCAGCTTCTTGGAGGAAGAGGATGGAAGTTGATCAGAAGAGGTGTCGATCCTCTTCACTCAACCGATATTCATTTGGATGGAATAATTTCCAGTGGAGAGCCAATAGAATAACAGACATTTATTGTAAATAAAGGAAGATGTTGGGTTGGTCGATTGGGCATTTTTGTGGATGAAACACACGATGCTGAACATTGGGAGGCATGTTCCTCCTTAAAGGTTAGAGTAGCACAAAAAGGGGCGAAAACCGAGGGGCGAGAAGACATTGGGTTGCTAGGAGACACCCCATTTTCACGTGGTATATTGCATTACCCTCCCCAACAGGATTGGTCATGCAGGCCCACCATTTTTTTTCTCGTTCTAGATTTTTAGAAAAAATTCCTATCTCCCATGAAAAAAAAAGCAAACGTTTTCTCTCGTTTTATAGGTGTTTTTCCCTTTGTTGTCTCGATAGCTCCCTGAATTATTCCGCTCGATACTTCAGCTGGAACTATTGATTGAGTTCTTGAGACCTTAAGACCTTATTGATGAAGCCCTATGGAATTGCTCGATAATTGCACCACAGGCTCGTGTACATAATTGCGTCAATCCAGGATAGAATTTTCTCCTTTTAAGGATCTCCTCGTCGTTACCTTTTTACTGGAAAAAAATTCTATCGACGCAGGACAATGCGGTCACAATTACAGTAGATTATCCCCAGAAACAATTCAGTGGCCGAGTGATAAAGGCGGGTAACTATCGATTTATCTTGAGAACTATCAATTTAAAGTGGAAACGCTGCAGAATTCTCTTAGCTCGCAGAATTCCTCTTCCTTAATTAAAAAACTCACGTAACGTTCTGTACCATTGTTATATTTAGCGAAGGTATCCTGCAATATAATAATACCTTTTTGAAAGACATTTAAAATGATACTAAATGTCTCGGTGTTTTTTCTCTCTCCATTCCCTCGCAGAATTTTTTTAACGCGTGGATTTTTCACTTTTCAAAAATCCATTGAAATTAATTCACGGCACATATCGCGAAATATGTAAAATTATTCATTTCTACTTGAATAATTTAGATGTAAATTAATCTCTTTAAGACTTAATGAAACAGGTGTTTCTTTATTTCGAAAGTGGAAAGTTTTGAATTCATTTGAATCCAAAACTTGAATAATTATTTTTTGACTAATTAGGGAGATTGCATGTTTCACGAATTATTTATTATTTTTATTATTAAAAAACCTATTGAAATGAGTTACGGGTAATGGGGAAAATTGGGGAGATAAATAGCATGAGGATTTTGTAGGCGATTGCCGTATCGGAAGTACGTCGCGACGCGCAATATATATAATGTATTGAGCGTCTGAGTGGCGTCGCCCTGCTAACAAATAGTTGGCTATTATACTACTTCTGTACATATATGTACAGTGGATTGCCTCACGTACAGAAAACGCCCATCCACCCTCAACGAATTTTTATTCCGAGGAAATATTTTTTTGGCACAGGCCTGGCAAAAGGAGCCCCCACCATTTCCTCATACGTCCAGTGAAGAGAGAACAGTATATTCCGTAACAAGTGCGGAAAGTGGGGCTTTGCGCACCCCAGCATGCGTAAGGAAATTAAATAAAATTTCCGCGGAATTGTAATAGAGTGAAAATTCATAAATGTCTCGGAGAAATCAATGATCGAATTCTCCCTTTTCCCTCGACGGAAATGATTCTCGATTGCCACTCAAGAAGTTGACAATTCGCCGAGATATTTGCCGCGAGAATTTCCAAGGAAATTGCAGAATGTCGAAGAGCCAGGGGCTGTGGAGTTTGGAATTAGCTTAGGCGGATATCAACAGATCTAGGGTATACAGCCAATTTCGAGGGTGAAACACCCCCTGTCTTGGAGTTGTCTTGATTCTGCTAAGTCTCACGGGGGTAGATTTGTTTTAAAAGTATGTTCCGATGTTCGCATCGTTGGATCTCTTTCCACATCGACAAACTCCGGAAAAATATTCCCCTAGGATGTTTGTCCACTTGTCTTTCTTCGCGGTTTCAGTATAAACTTCTGGCTTTTTATTTTTCTCTTCAAGCATTGCAACTAGTCAAGTTGATTCTCCTCGCTGGCCGAATCTCAATTAATATTAATTTAAACAAAACGTTACGTTTTGTTAAACTGAAAAAAAACGTTGTTTTTTTAAGGTGGAGAAGATTTGGATGAATTAAAATTCTTGATTGAAGGAGAAATGATTTTTTAATGAAGATTCATCGAAATTCTGATGCCGTCATGTGATTTTTAGTCCTTATTCAGAATTCCTTTCAGCTCCCATCACCCTTTCTCTCAGCTACTCCTCCACATTCCTCTCAACCTTGGAGAATCGAATCTGTCGCCTGGGAAAAAGAAAGAGTAGAAAACTTTGAGTGGAGTGGAAAACGAGTTAAGGAAGCTCGTCCTTCCACGAAAGTTCTTTATCGAAATTGGATTATTTTCAGGATAAAAGTTTTCCGTAATTTTGGCCGATGCATGACAGCACCACTGATTTTCACGTTCAATCAGCTCTGACCATCATAGAATAATTAAAACCTTGAAGATTATTTTATAAATGACAATTATAAATTCTGGTAATTGTGGAGGTTTTAAATTCCTCCGTTGAAGAACTCGAGGATGAAATTAATGTTAATTGTCTGGTTTGTTGCAGCCAAGGAATTGAGATCATGTGGTGGCATAAGTAGCGGCGGAGAGGTCTGCTGTTCAGCGGATATGGAGCTGAGACTTCAAGCTCGTGCCCGGGACAGACATGAAAAAGCCACGAGATCAACACTACAGAGGCTTCAACAACTCCTCGTAACTAGAGGCACACGATTTCACAGTAATTACACTTTTGCTAAATAATTCATTACACCTATCAGCTATTCTAAAAAATTTTATTGAAAGATGGGAATAATATAAATATATGAACCCGCAAATTCAATTAATTTCCCTAGTCTTTTCCCGATCTGCCCTTTAATCCCCATAATTAAAGCGCAGAAAACGAATGAATAAAAACAGAAGGGATGAAAGAAATGCCGAATTTGCCGGAGTTTAGGTTTTATTTTCTCGTTCCACCTCATTCCAGTCAAAAGAATTTTTCTCGTTAGCCCCGCAAAGTGATAATGGGAGGATCGAACCTGTCCACTGCAGGGAGGAAGGTGAAAGGGAGGAAAATGAAGGGACTGAGGACAAATGGGGTTGGCAACAAGATTCCAGGAGATGGGGGCAAATACCTTCGAGCCTTGCTGAGTTTTTTTAATTAAACAGTCTTCCCATATGAGTACATCGAGGGCTCGTCTTCCCTTTAACCCCTCCTACTCCATTCTCTTTTTCTTTATTCTCTCCTCATGGTTCTGTGAAAATACACTTGCTCACGTCCTCGTGGGAGTCAGTTTCCCTTTACTTTTCTTTTTCATTTGTTTGAGTGCTGGTGGAAATTCATGTGGACGGTTGCAATATCTTCCATTAAATTTGCTGTGAACTTTTTCAAAAATTTAAACAATTTGCTCGAGAAAAGAGGAGAGAAAACCCGTAATTTTGGCCTCAAGGAGATGAAGAGATAAAGGGATGAAGAGATGAAGAGATGAAGAGATGAAGAAATGACCAGATGGTCGTGCTGATCAATCGTCATAATATTCACATAAAATTCACCCACTTTGATGCCTCGAACATATTTTTTCCCTCTCTCAATTAATTTCCACGTGCTACAGAGAGCTACTCACAATTTTCCTTTGATGTGGTTTAGAGTAGGAACACGGGAAAAAAAGGAGAGATTATAGAGGAAGTATTGCGTGTATGTACCGGTGAGTACCTGGGGGTAGTACGTACCCACTTTACACGGTGCCAAGTTCACAGACGGGACCTCCCACTCTTGAGGACATGTGAAGCCTGACTCTCATTTTTTTTCCCCGCCTTTTTCTTTTTTCTTCATTCCACCGTACCACCCACTCGTGCCACCCGCTACTTCTTTCACCAACTCATCTAAGCCTACTTTTGGTGGAGTCTTTGAACACCGCTTTACGCAGGTTTACAGGGTTGCACCCACTGGAGAGACCCCCCCATTTTTTTTTTCATTTTTCCTTTTCTCTTTCATGGAGATCTCAGCGTTATGACTCTTTGAGATTTTTTTTCACCGGGCCGTCTCGAGTTTCTTTGATATACCTTTGAACTTCAAAGACAGTTGTTTTAATTACCTGTAAATAAATATTCTATTGTCGAGGTTGTTGCACCGGCTTCATTCATAGGGTAATCTGGGGGCAAACTGCCACTTAAAATAACTCCAGAATTGGGGATCAATTGCACTCTTTATCTGACGATTCTTATTTGGGTAACTATTGATTCGAGGTCATGACTGTTTTATCAATTTTCCTCAGGTTTTTTCAAAGAGTTGTTGGCAGCATCGAAGAAGGGATTTCACGAGATGTTCAAGAAAACGTATGGGATTTTGTATGAACAAAATTCATATGTCTTCACGGATTTGTTCAAGGAACTTGAGAATTACTACACCAAGGGAACAGTGAGTACCTGAATTGATGTAGATCTGAAATTTATCTGGGATTTACAGACAATATTTACCCAATTATGTGAAAATTTAAATTTCGTTTGGATGAGAGAATGGAAAATTTTTCTATCAGGTGAACTTGGACGATGTGATGGACAATTTCTTCAACACCCTCTACCAGAAGATGTTTACGGTTCTGAACGGTCAATACAATTTCGACGATAAGTACCTGGAGTGCGTCGGCAATCACATGAAGGAGATGCGACCCTTCGGGGATGTCCCACAGAAATTGGGGGTGCAGATTAAAAGATCGTTCATAGCAACGAGAGCTTTCAGCCAGGCACTCACAGTCGCTGCTGATGTCCTGAAGAATATGCAAACGGTTAGTCAATGTTCTCACCAAATTAATAACTATTCTTATATTATTATGAATGCAATAATTCCCAAAGAGACGTACATTCCTCTGGAACTTTCCCTGTTGCTAATTTACCTGCCCATTAATTTTTTTTATACGCATTGTTCTTGATGAACATCAACTATTTAAAGACGAGAACTTTCATGAGAACCTGTTTCATATTCCCTGGTCATCCCCAATTATGCTAGCGTAGTCACACTTGCCATGCTGAACATGACGACGTTTTAACGCTCGATAAATTCACGGTGGGCGGTTTACCGCCACTTAATGATTCAAGGTACTCATGTGAAAAACATTTTTTTTTAAATTCCCTCCTCTTTTTTTATCCATAAAATGCATCAATTTTACGTGTTAAGGCCTCAAGGAATTTTCGCTATTTAAATTGAAGATGAAAATTCAATATGAAAAATATCAAATTCAATTGAATAAAAATAGAAAAAAATCATAGCAGCAATTTCCATATTCACAAATTGGCGTGTACGTCAAGAATGGTTAGTTCCACAAAAAACTTCCGAGAACCATTTTTGAGGACGATGAAATTTCCTACAAAAAGCGTCCTATAAAGTTTCCCGTGTAACCCCTCATTATGGAAATAATACTACCTTTACCGCACCCAAAAAAAAAACAGTTTCCCCCTCACCCCTTGGCGTTTTCCCCGTTCCACCCAAATTATCGGATATTCCCTAACACTGGTCGCTTGGCAACGAGTGCAATCGTATTTGGCACTCATCGGCAATCACCAGGTACCCACCCCCGGTGTCCCTGCAAGTTTGATGAAGTACGAAAAAAAAAAATCATCCAACTGCATTCCTACGCTGAACGGACCGAGTAAAAATCAAGTGCTTTTAACTGAAGCCTAGAGGTATTTCTACCTGGCTTCAACAATTTATTCGTTCAAAGGGTACAGGTGAATGTGCAAGAGTAAATGTGCAATATCCCATCGAGTGCATTGTACACACGACATTTATCGAAAACCAGGTCACATTATCGCCTGAACCCTAGTTTCATCACGTATTTTCTAAACTTTTTTTACTGGATTAAAAAAAAAAAAGCCAGAGAAAAAAAAGCCAGAAAAAAAATGTCTCCCATTCCAAATATTCAAACGCCGTGACATCCCCGACGAAATAGTATTCACCGCGGATTAGATTCGTTCATTTATTCAATCCTCAAGTGCTTGAGACATTTTTAATGAATTATTTCCTCCTTGAATCCAATGGATGAAAAAAAAACAGCTGAAGGCATCACCGGAGTGTGCAGCCGCTCTAACCAGAATGACAGCCTGTCCCTCGTGCAGTGGAATACCCGGTAATGTTCTAGCATGCGGTGACATGTGTGCCAACGTCATGAAGGGATGTCTTGCTCAACATGCTGCACTCGACGCTGAATGGAATCATTTCGTCGGTAAGTTCATTGTGAATTCACTTTCATGCCTCTCGTCCACTCGGAATTCAATCGGACCAATAGCTCCATTTTTAATAGCACAGTAGTTCCCTAACTCATTGCAAGGACCTGCCAGTTATTCATGTTTTTAATTAATTGATGGATCTGGAGAGGAATGCAAGCGACGAGTATTAATTCATTCATTCAATTGCACGTTCCTCTGAATTATGGAAATTAGACGAATTGTTGTGACTCACTACTTGCCAGTATGCGGATGTCACACTGAATAGACAAAATTTTTGTGTAATCATGAGTTGACCTCAATTATTGCCGTAATTTCTTTAATTCGGAATTCGTATTTTGCCCGGGTTACAGAAGCCGTAGGAAAAGTCGCTGAGAGACTGCTGGGACCATTCAACATCGAGATGCTAGTGCGACCGATAAACCTGAAAATTTCAGAAGCCATAATGAATTTCCAAGAGAATAGTCAAGACGTCTCTCAACGCGTCTTCAGTGGCTGCGGTCGGCCCGTTTTGGGGAGAAGACGTAGACGAAGACGAGAGAGTCAACACGATATCGATACGGAATCCTCGAATTTCGATCAGGAGGCCGTCGACGAGGATGGCAGGTCCTCGACTGCTGCGATGCTCGATAAACTCGTCAAAGAAATTAGGCAGAGGGTCAGGGACTCCAGGCAATTCTGGATTTATCTCCCTTATCAGCTATGCAACGACGGATTAGTCGTGCCCCCGAGTAACACCAAAGAGTGCTGGAATGGCACTCATGTTGACAAGTGAGTTAAATGAAGCCCTCGACATTATCTACAAAAAATATCTTACGATTTTCTCTCCTAGAAAATCTCATTAGGATCCAATTCACGAGTTAATGAGACGCGAAGTCTGAGGTGTTCTCGTATTTCCAGCAGAAGATTTTTGATAATTTGATTAGATAATGTTTTAGTCTGTCGAGTTATTATCCTGTGATTGCCAATCCCGAGCTACTAGAACAATGTTTAATTACCCTGAAAATAACTTTCAGGTACCTCTATCCGGTATCGTCAGACGGTGAGACTCAAACTTTGAATCCGGAGGTGAGGGGCAGTGGCCCGAGGCCTTCGATAGTTAAGGACCAAGTGTTTGCCCTCACTACCATCACCAGTAGATTGAGATCGGCGTTCAACGGACAGGATGTTGACTGGGCGGATACAGGTTTGTCTTGTTGCTAAAAAAAATTGAATAAACAGGAGTAAATACTTTGAAGGGAAAGATGATGAGATAATATTCGTATTAACAGAGGAGACGTTGTACGGCTCAGGCAGTGGCTCAGGAGATGGTCTCGATGAGGAGGATCCCATAACAGATGACGAGGATGGCTTCCGCGAGGAGTCCTCAGGGTACGAGCCAGTGCCATCGGTGCCCCAGACACCCCAGGTTATTCAGCCCCTGGTGCCACCTGAGGTACCCCGAAGGATCGATATAACACCCAAAATACCCACCGTCATCGACACCAACACAAATATTATCACTCCACACAACAACAAAACAACAAATGCTGTTGAAAATGGAGCAAACAGACAGCAAATATCGTTGTCACGTGCTCTGACGTCTTATCTATTCCCAATAGCTGTTATGTGGTTCGGTGGATGTCTCACCGAGTGGCTGTGATCATAAAATATTCGCGATCGTGTGACTTTTGTAAATAAATGGAAAAGTTTTGGAAGACGTAGGGATCGGGGACTCGAGTGAGACGTCGAAAGTGTCTCGGGACAGGATTTTTCAGTGCTCCCGGTGATCTCAGATGAAGAAGATGGGACGATGACCGATGTGCCATTTTTTTCCGATTTTATTATCAAGACCTTTTTACAGTGGGGGATGTGAAAAAGTGTAACTCACTCAGTCTTTCGATATTGTTGCTGTCGAGGGGGAGTTTATGGTCTCGTGGGATGAAATGGGGAGATGCGATTTTTCTTTTACACTGTTGTTGAATCTTTACTGAATTTCAAGAAATTTTTTTCATTGATAATTCAGCGATTTTTTGAACAGTGTCGCTGGGCTCCTGTGAAATAGTCACCAGCTCTGAAGAATAGGTAAGCGATGCACTGAGTATACGAGAAAATGAGTTACAGGACTGAATATTTATTAGGATTGCTTTTTTCGTTTGGATCATGTGTTCGCTGTTGTTCCTCAATCTTCTCTCTTGATCCACTGAAGGATCGAGTGGGGAGTCATCGTTCGATGTTGATGGGCTCTCATCACCTCTTTTTTCTCTATTCTTTTTTTTTATCTTTCTACTGTAATGTAAAGTGTAAATAGTCGCGGAGAGGATGATGAAAATCTGACGATTGTATCATTTTTCAATCCCTCGGATTTCCATTATTCTCTCGAGTGGTATTGTAAGTTTTATTGGTGTCTTAAGGAAGTGCTAAAGTTAGGAGAATATTTCGAATTTGTTGGAACGTGTCTCATTGGTTAATTACTACATCCTCTGCTCCAAATTATCATAATGTTTATTATTATAATGTTTATTTATCATAAAACGGGAGATAATATTCCACATTTCAGACGATTTGAAGCCAAAGAAATTAAAATTTCAATTCATTAATTTTTTTCAGTTTCAGAGCTCTCGCTCCATTCTCCAATCACTCAATTTAATTATCAATTTCAATTCATTAAAAACCGCTGTGAATGTAAAATAACTCATGAGACACGTTTTGTAAAATCCGCGTTGGGTGACTAAAATTGAATTAATTAAGGATGAATGCTACAAAATAACAGGCTCCTGTGATAAAATCAAATAAATGAACAAAATTAATGAATTGTGCGGAGAAAAATAACCATTGACGAAGGTAAAATAACAAAATAATAGAGATGATATACAAATCTAGTGAAATATTCAATTGAATAACTAGTACGGTTAAGTTCTTTATTTGTCCATATGTATACATAGTGGGTATGTATTTGCGGATATTAACAATTCATTATCCCCAGAATTAGTAGAACTTCTCTTTTGTTCTTCACCAATGTTTGTAATGTGAACGAGTGAAATGTCTTTGAAAAATGACAGGCAACAGGGTTTTTCGCGTATTTGTATAAAATTTATGACGATTATTCGTTTAGAATAATTTTTGTACTATTTTTTTTAACTAAAAAAAAATGTATGAAACGCAAACAATCGTACGAAAACAATAATTTATAAAAGTAAATATTCAAATTATTCGTGGCAATGGATGAAGAAAATAATGTGAATCATGTTGACAATTGTGTGAAGTAATTTATTTCTATTCGATGAACTATTTGTATGAAAACTATATAGATTTAATGACAGATATAAATTAATTTAATGAAAACTTAATGTAATAGGTGTTTCCTAACTTTGGAGATAAAGTTTTACATTCATTTTAATAAGATTCTGGTTTGTTTTACTGTACCAATGGAGGAAAATTCCCAGAACTCGGTGAGATTAATCTCGAGACAATTTATTCGACGCAGCAAATGTGTAGACATAAACAACAAATATATAAGCTGATACATAATGACGATGCGTACAGATTTTATATTTTCATTCATTATCTTATCAGAATGTTTCCGCGGTTTTTCGCCCCGGCAAAAATTTATCAATTGCCCGTTCAATTTCCTCGAAATAATAAAGAAAAAAATTACAATCACATCGTTACATCGCTGGAGTAATGGACAGGCTTCATGGATATGTAAATTTCACGGATGCATTATTAATGGATTTGATTAATGTAGGGGCGGGGACTACGGAGGCATTCGGCTTTGATCAGTCCTTTTATACAGCCGTCAATAAATGAAAATGAAAACCAATCCGAATTTCTATTCATTTCCCTCAACCACTCCTTACCCCTTTCATTAATTTAAAAAAATAGTCAATCAAAATGGTCGGATGAATAAGAATACAGAAGATGTATATTTCTCTGGTTACAATTTTTATTTTACAGAAAAATACAAAGTCTTGTATAGATAAATCAAACTTTGCCTTTCCTCAATATTTCAATGGCTGAATGAATAATAAAACAATATAAAATTATTTTCGTGGTATAGAATAAAGACGAGAATACGAACTCCAATGGAACGGGATAAATTTTGTTGATATTTTAATAAACATAGTCCTAATACGAGAACAGATAAAATACCAATGACACGTGATTACCAAAAATCTTAATTACCTAGAAAAAAAAATACCTCGTTATGACTCTAAACATTAATTCACCAAAAATTCTTGCTGCGATATTGACTAAGGTGAATTGAATCGACGAAAAAATATGGCATTAAAAAATAAATTGATTAATTCTATAATTGAAATATAGTGAGAAATATATTTAGGACGAAACACTACTGAATATCATATTTTTCACCGATAAATTTCGATACATGTGATATTATTGATTCAATACCAAATCATTCCACCACTCGGAAAATTCAATACAAAATACCGATAAAAAAACTCAGAGCAAAGTGTCAGCTTGATTAAATTTTTGAAATCCAGTAATAAAGAAGTATAGAATTCTTATAAAAAAATAAAAAATATTTATCACCTACAGGAATAGTACGAGGACGATCCATTGATCCTCCAATAAAAGGACATGCACAAACGTCTACCCTATCCTGACTGATTTATCCTTACGATTGCATTATTTAGTACGAATTGCAATATTGGAGAGCTCTAAATCGAGGGGATTTCCATGATTTTTTTATTCCGATAAGACGTCCCTCGGAAAATTGAACGTCTAAACAATTAATATTCAGTAAGCAAGTGTTAAATATCGATTTATCAAAGAAACTATTGATTTCAGAAGAAAATTATTTTAAAAAATGTCACTGCCACTTGAATACTGAATTAATTGTTAATTGTTATCCTCAATCGTGCTTTAGACACCACGACACCCTGCGACAAGAATTTTGAGCCCTGTTGTACGAATTAATCCGAGGCTCCACTAATTGAGTACCAAAAAGATAAAGAGTAACAAGTCGACAAATTGTCCTTTACCCCTTGATCACTCAATTGTACACATTTCAACGCTTCACACAAAGGAAGTACATACGATCGATTAGAAATACGTGATTACAAGATCAACTACTGCAGATCGTACCAGATGATAAATTCTACTCCTAAATCGTGTGCTTAAAAAACTTTTGTCTGACCAACTCCATTTTATCATAGAAAAAACAAATGGGTAGAAAAATATACTTATGAGCAATCAAGCTATCACGTAGATTCTCACGTATTAGTTGTTTATTTATTTTTTTTTTGTTATTTGAATTTTTGAATAATTTTCTGCATGTGAAAAAAATCACAGACTTTGCCATCGGACTTTTTCCTCTCGTATTCACTAATGTCTCTTTCATTTTCATTCCTATCTCATTAAACCTGGTACGATCTGAGGGTTTTCAATATTAATATCCATCAATTATCTATTCGGCATTCCACGAATCGGTATTACTTCCTAGTCAAGTCGATTCGTTCGAAAATCATCGTGGAACACCGGTTACATCATATTTATTGTACTTATTCCCAAAAAACGAAACTACAGTTAAGCCTTGTGTTTTGACTTTCATTTCGTCACATCAAAGTTTCTGTAGTGCTTCATGTATGGAGTTTTTTTTTTAAGAAAATGCAAAAATTTTGAGTGGACACCCTTCTCTCTCTCCTCTACTGGAATTTAAAAAAATAAAAAAGGTTCCACGTCACTCTCGAAGGAGATTATTCCCTCAGAGTGAAGTATTCTTCATTCATTCTTCATTATTCACATGTCGATCCAGTGTAGTTTCGACTTTTGATTCCATATTCACGTCTCGATCAAGCTTTCCACGTATGAAATAAATTATAGAAAAATCTCGGGCTTTTTAAGACTTCTACAGAGCTCCACTAGAAATTCCACTAGAAATTCTGAAAAAAAGCGCTGAATTTTTCAATCAAATATTTTTCATGCGTGTCCTCGCGAGGTCACTCCAAAGTGTCAGGATATTTCGTAAAAATTTATCGAAAATCGGTATTTCGATCCGATCGCCGCGAAAAACGATAGGAATTTGATAAATCTGTCGCTGGAATTGAAGTTTTGAAGAAAGCGAGAAAAAAATAAAAGCAATGACAACTTATTTTCTACTATCACAACCATCGAGGTCCATCTAACGATCAATTTGCTGAAACCCACCAACGGAATCGATTGAAATAATAGAGATTGGAAAGTAAAATACGTACGAATACGATAAACATTCATAATTATGAATTAATTTTGTAGCGCAGTGTATTTTTGACAGAAATAAACTTGACCCGTCACAACTCTGCTGTGAAGTGGTGAACTAGAAGAAGTGAATTTTTTTCTTGACCAATTTTTCGCCGATATCTTGGAATTGAAGGAACACAGTAATTCTGCAGAAACATTTTTTGGTGATGAACTGAGGCCTTGAAAAAGTGGCTTTGATAGAAATTTACTGATCCTAGTTCACTACTTGGCTACTTAATTAAAATTCATTACTTGCTGGTCATTCCGGAACTGGAAATATGGTATCGAGGATGATGTGGAGTTCCTCGGGATGTCTCGACTGTTTAATTTTGTCTGCTAGTTCTATCTGAGGCAGCGCAACCAATTGGGTAAAGCGGTAGCGCACCTCAGGTAATCTCAGATGGATCCGCTGCTATCACCAGGAAATACCAGCATGTGATCGGTAGCGCAGGAAGGGGTCGGCGAACTTCGAGCATCAAGGGATGCTCTACTCGCTGAACTAAAACTGCTCGAACTCAGGTCCTCGCAGCTCGCCACTGATTGACTCCCACCTGCAATCATAATTATTCCTTTATAATAATCAATACTCATCACTTGTCAAGTCGACTTGTTCCCTAGTCCAGTTTGGAATTATTGTCAGACTTACAATTAAATCACTAGTCTCAAGTTTCCTAAATACATTTAACGTCTACATAGACTAGATTGATGAGAGAATTGAGGGATTCAAGGATTCTGCAAACACAATGTGCCTGTACGGAATTTTCTCCAATTGTTCTCAATTTTTTCATTTTTTCATTCAGAATAATTGATTCAGTGCTCATTACACAGAATTCTCAATTTCCCTTGGATCTCCGCCCACGATTGGAAGTAACAAAAATAGAAAAGCATTTTTTCCGTCTTCAATACTTTTATTTTTCACTTTTTTATATTTTTTTTTTCAGCTTCTTTTCCTCTGCCGTATGCAACAGCACATTAAGTTAATGTCTTATGTGAATACAATCGATAAAACTCATGTTTTTTTTTGTTTTTCTCATTCTTTTATACAATTACTCGTCGTGCATTAATATATATCTATAAATTTAAATTTATTTATTTCTTGTTTAGTTTGTTTAGCAGTTGAAAAGTTGATAGTTCAAGAGCGCAGCGTATTTTATCAATTATCACAAACGCTACCCTACCTCCACTTTTTTCGGTTTTTCTCCAAACACACGCCAGTTTCTATTTTAGTTTTGTGCTCTGTGGTTACTCTACGTGAGCAGATTTTTTCGGATGAAAATTATTAATTTCTCTCGAAGCAGAAAATTGAATGGTTGATTTTTCTTTCTAAAAATTTATTGACATGATTCTTCGATTATTCAGCTACTCTCGACTGTTAATTCGTTGAGATTTTTCATGCGTCAAGAGAATATTCAAATTTTCTTTACAATTTTCTCTCATTTTTTTTTGTTTAGGTACTTTTATCGTTTTACGACGGATTTAAAACAACTTTGTCAATGAATTCTACACAGAAGAAAAACTAGTTAGTGAATCGTAATTGCTAAGTATTTTATAACATTATAATTTATTATTTTACTAAGGTACATTCTCTAATTACCCACGATAAGCTACGGTTACTCGGTGATTCGCCAATGACAGATCGTTATAATTATCACCGATTTCTCAATATTTCGGTAGAGAAGTGATAAAACATTATAGAAATTTATGCACATGCAATTTCGTCGCCAATATTTTTTATTCAAATATCAAAAATAATTTATAAACAATTAATTTAATTTTCAAATCGTGAATGGATGAAATTTCGAATTTTAATGCTTTACAGAACTTCATTTTTATTTCATCAGCACTTCATTGTGAAATTAACACGTTAAATCACCCCTCCACCCTCTCCCCATCGATAATTAATCCTCACTGCACTTTTTAAATAATTTTCAAGGTACTTTTGGCCAATGCTATGCAACCGAGCGCAGAATCTTCTCTCGCGAATCTTTTCATTTTAATTCTCCACCCAAAAAAATTTGCGCAAGAACGTGAACCCACTTTCCATATATTATTACTTCAGAAAATTTGTGTCGAAGGATAAATCGATGTATGCGTACACAGTATATACATGCCCGCATGTAAAAGATAATGCCGATTGCAGGGAATCCCAGTAAATAAAATTATGTGCTCACATATCAGCGATAATACAGTTACTCGTCTATTCCACTCTTCTCAGATCAGAAGGAGCAGCAACTCCTCTTTAATTAAATTAAAATTATTACTGGCGTTCTAATTGATCTTTCAGACATAAATTTCAACTTTTGCTAATTATGTGTGCTATTTCATTCTTAAAATAGAGAGTACAGTTGTCGGATTTCTCACTCACTCGATATTTTAGAATATCTTTTTACTACCATTTAAAATTCAGGATGTTTAGTCAAATTTTTGGTGAACAATTGTTGAAAGGAAATAACTAATCATTCCATAAGCTATCGTTATTATCAATCACTCACTCGAAATTAAACGGAAAATTAGCGTTGACACATTCTTGCAGCGAAACAAAATTTCGACATTTGTCAATTACATTTTTCTAATGAACACTTTTATTTTTTCGTCGCGTTATACAACTCTAATGAAAGCTGCATTTGCAACGAAAATTGTTTATGATGCGTGATTAACAGAACGCAATAGTAATTAACAGAAAGATCTAACGATTTCTCGAAAGAATTCTATTCAATTTCAATTATTTAAAAAAAACTTAAATTTTTTCTGCTAATTGTTTGATATTCGTATATGCTAATACTAAATTAAGGGTGAGTATTTTTTTAAATTCGTGTTTTCTTATTTTCTCGTAACACTGACTCGTACTTTAAATAATCGAAGGACCAAGCAGCACTAGACGATGGGGATAATTGAGTAGAGAACGTCGCAGTCTCCAAAATAAAAATTTCCACAGAATAATAATTACAAACATTCAATTAAAGTAATTCCCAATTTGAGAATATTCAGGTTTTTTCGGTTTTACTTTCAAATTAATTTGAAAAATTCGAAATTGTCACGGTTCACTCGATAAATATTATCGTTAATTTACAGCATTGTTTTTTCGTTCCCGCGGTGACAGGAGTCAAGAGTAGTTTCGAGGATTTCAATTTCCTCATGAGTATTTTACGCATGTCTATTTTTTCGAAAGTGAAAAAATTCGATTAAACATTCAAATAATTTTCCGACGAAAATTCACCTCTTCGACATTGAACGCCGAAGTTAAATAAATAATCATGAAAATACAATGATTGCAAAAGGCATTGACTTTCTTCCATAAAAATCGAAGAATATATTAAAAAGTATTTGAATAAATAAAAGTTTTTCGGGAGAGAACAAAAAAGAAAAAACAATTCATTCTGCGATCTACTTCTAGTGTAGGCAGTCTTGATGAAAAAAAAATCATAAGAAAGTAATAAATAAATAAAGTGGAGACTGCGTTGACGAAAATCATAAGAATTCGGAAGCTGAGAGGAGAGCAAAAACATTCAATCAAAAAGAAAAAAAAAATTCTCTCACGAATAAACACGTCAATATTCTACATTTTTCGATTTACACTTACGTAAATTATCGTTAATATTAAATATGATGGTAATACTCTGGTGGTTAGAAAGTCCTTCAACATCCATCAACCTTCAATATTTCGCAACGAAATGAATAAATATATCAATATTACATAATCGCTATTGAAATTCAGAACTCCTCCGAATTTCATTCAATTAAGGCTGCATAATTACGCTGCAAGTATCATTAAAAAATAAATTTTTGAAGAACCATCAGTTTTCTATTCCACCAATTTTTAATTAATTAAGCTAGCCTTTTAATTTTGCTTTGTCTGTGCAAATGAACACCTAATGGCCAATAACTTTAAAAATACATAATCCGAAGTTTTTTCTTCATCAAAGACTTAGAATTCTCAAGCTCTACCAACGAAAAAGAACAATTTTTCCATTTTTCTTATTTTTTTTTGTATCTTTTCCATTTTTTTTTCCTATTCTCGTAGACATTGTAGGGTTTTCAATCTAAGAAAGTCCATAGTCGCAATATTTCTCTAAGGAAATCACTCAAACCTAATAGTATATTGTGAAACAAGTGCGCGATGCATTTTTTGGCTCGTGGGGGGGTTGTATCACGAGCCAAAGGCGAGGTTCTAATCCCGTGATTGCGGGCACCTGACATAAAAGACAAACAAGAGATTTCTCTCATGATTCTCGATATAATTTTGAAATCAAATGAATTCCGATTGATATTCTTCGCCTTGCATGAGACAAATAACGAACTGAAAGAAGATGCCTACGATGAACCTACGAATCATGAGATCCAAATGAATTATCACTAAAAAATTGCGACCCTTGGAATAAACAAACAAACGTGGACTCCTAATTACCTAAAACCAGGTGTAATCGAGAGCCTTGCTCAAGCAGAGAGAATTAATTAATCAGAACTATTTCAAAAATATTTCACAAAATCCTAAAAATCACGAAAAGAATTCCTCTAAACAGCGCTGCCTACCCAAATTATCTCGAAAATCATCAATAATTCGCCCACATCTCCGGCAGACAAAATTCATAAAATATTTCCATTTTAAAATTAATGTATGCGCATTTCACCGAATTTTTCCCAGTTTACGAGTTATTGAAATCACCCCCAGAAAAAAAATCTTGAAAACAAAAAGAAAAACAAACAAATCAACTTTTTTAATCAACCCCCGCAACCTGCATGAGAAGAATATAAAGAGCAAGGCTGGCCCCAGGCATGTCTACGCAATCCTCGACTCATCTCCTCTTTTTCTTCTTGGACCTGCAATTTTTCTTAGCAACGGTGGACCAAGACGGCGATGCCGTCGTCTTCTCCACCTCTTTAACCCCACTATCCTCCTCAGTATCCATAGGCACTACATTAGCATTGAGATCATCAGAGGAGCTCGAGCGTTCCGGTGGATTATCCAGCTCTGAGTCACTCTGTTTCTTCTCCATCTCCCCACCCTCCTTGACCTCCACCTCAATAACCCCCTCCTTCTTTCCCCCATCAGATCCTGAGCCAGAGTTGGGCCCAGTGACCGAGTTGGCCTTCTTTCCCCTCTTCTTGGAACCCTTCGCCTCCATCACAACAGCCACTTCCTCTACCTTCACCTTTTCCTCGTCCTGGCAATTCTCCTCCACCCTCGGCCGGTGAACAATCGCCTCCCACTCTATTTTCTCCTTTCCCTCCTCATCACCCTTATCACTACCTCCAAGAGGCACTTTCCTGTTTCTCCTGGACTTTTTCATCCTGACGATCGACATCTCAGGCTCGAGTATCTTGCACTCTGGTGCCCCAGCGATTTCCATTTCCGCTTTCTGCATAGCATCGATATCAATAATCTCAATGACATTAGTGGGACTCTGGGCTGGATTTTTTGGTGTTCTGACTCGTGTCTTCTTGGGGAGGCTCTGGGAAGTGGCCTGATCGAGCTTGGGCTCGATCGATCTCTCAGTATCCTCTGTTAAATCTTTATCAGGACTCTTGCTCTTACTCCAGGATCCTGGGGCACCCAGGGACTTGACAATGACCGTCACCTCAGTCTCTGAAGGCTCAGAGTCGATGACGACCACGTCTTTTCGCTTTCTGGAGCCCCTGGACCTCACTGGAGGTGGCTTGTCAGCCTCCTGTGGCTCTGGGGATTTACTGTCGGCTGGAGGAGGCGAGGACGCCAGAGGAGGAGACTGGGGAACATCAGGTGTTCCAACGTGCTCGAGATCGTCGTCGGAGAGCATACCCTTGCTCTTCGATATCTCATCAACTTGCTCCATGACAAACGCCTTTCCTTTCTCCAATAACTCCGTTATCTCTGACGCCTGGATGTGCTCCAGGTCGTCATCAGAAATCGTACTCTTGCTCCCCTTCCTGTGTCTCGCAGGAGACACCTCGTAATCCTGACCGTACGCCTCGTCGACCTTCTCGAAACGCTCTATCTTCGGATCCACCAACTCCAGGACAACTTCAGAGCTGATGTGCTCGATGTCATCGTCCGACACGTGATAGCTATCCTTGGAGAAGACGTTGGGCTCAATAATGTGGTAATCCATGCAGTTGAAGTCGTCGAGAGTGGGTAGCTCCAGGGGAAGTGTCATCTTGCAGAGACTGGATACAGAGGCGTCCATGGGTTCTGCTTTGGTTTGATCCTCATCGGTAAGAGCTTCAAGTGCCTTGAGCTCGACAAAGGCATCGGTCATCATGGCCTCAGCCTCACCAGCACTCTCCATCGTTCGATCAACTTTGATGGCCAATTTTCTGTGCTCCTTCGGCTTTTCCTCGGTATTTTTAATAACCTGTGGTTCACTCGTATCCTCAATTATGACACTGTCCTCGTGCTCGTGCAGAAGGTACTTAGGACCCTCCCGATTATTACCCTTTTTATTCCTCTTGAGGATAATACCCGGCCCCTGGGGCACCTTCTCTGGCTCAGGCTCATCGCAACATTTATCTAACTCAGCTGTTTTATTCTCCATAAGTACAATACTATCGTCGTCGTAATTGACAACGTATTTAGCAGCAGCAATTGTTGGTTCCGGCGCGTGATGGTCGCGCTTAGCTTGACGTTTTATCCATGAATTTTCCCTCGCCTGGGTCATTGGACTGCTGGGTATCTCACCTTGCTCAGCGCAGAGACTCAGGGTTGTTGGTACATCCCTGAATGCACCTCTCTCGTAGTCGATACTCCCCGGTGTCATTGTCGCTGCCTCAACGCACAATTGTTTATGCTCTTTAACATCTCGTATGTCGTCGTCAGGTACACTGTCTATCGCTGGTTCACTCGCTGAACGCATTTCAGCGCATATTTCGGTATGATTACGCAGTGGATTTCCATCGTTATCGAAATCGTTGAGGGATGCTGGACCCTCCTCGGCGCATACGCTTCTGGGGGCTTCAGCTATTGCATCATCATCGAAATCCTGGGAGGACGCGTCCTCCTCGTCGGCCAGGACTGTTATCACTGTGCCCAGGGGGTTGACGACTTTTGTCACCGGCTGTCCCACCCTCTCAACTACCAATCGCCTCCCTAGTAACAGAAAAAGCCGTTGGCAGGTATCAGTAACGAGGTCTTTTTCTTTTCACCGATAAAACACGTGGGAAATTATTTCAACAAGAAAATCCCATTCGATTGACATTATTCATTCATTTAATCACCAAATTTATTGTTTCTATTGGATTTTTGGGAACAAATATTATCATTTCATTAGGATTAATATAATAAATTTAATATGCGGAAAAATAAAAGTCTACCGTCTGAGGATTTTATCGATAAAATTCATAGAAAACCAATAGAATTCCTACAGAAATAGTCTCCTAGCGAATACGATTGATTTTTCAATGAAATTATTTTATACTGTCATAATTTCTTGATGAAATTGTTTTTTGAGGTCTTTGGGGGGGTGTGAGGGGGTGGTACCCGGGGTTCAAAGTGCAGTGATTTGAGAATTTTTATTTTATGATATGGTTTTATGATATTTCAAACAAGACAATCACACTGTTTTGACCAGCACTCATTGCGACTCGAAATTACGTGCAATAGAATTAACAGAACAGTTCTCTGTCTATCGCGTGCTATGATATGTAAAGTTTATGAGAGTCGTTCAATCGTCAGTGAATCATCATTGAAATATCAGTTTGCTTAGAACTTTTGAACCACGAGGCCACTGCATCGATTTGTATCAATTATTTACAATGTTAGTATAACAAATCCAGGACTGTAAATTACTGGTTTATCAAGGGGAGACGTTATTACTGACAATTGATGATGATAATGTTCACCGTGTTTGGTGTTAGTCATTCAATCGTTACGATGTAATTCTGGGATGAGAAAAATTAACGGCGATACCTGCCTCTGGCCAGTTCTGTATCCTTGCAAACTTAGAACACTAGGTACCGTTCTCTACTACGTGCAGAAAGCATTAAATCTGTGCACGTCATACCGAAAAACCGTCAACTCGTGGAATTCAATCCACTCATCGTTTCTCTGACTTTTTTTTTATTTATTGGCATGCGCTAAGCAACAATTACTTGGCAAAATGCATTTGCAAATCAACACACGTCACGTTGGAAGAAATCTCACGAGAAAAATCCACACAGAACAAAATATATTCACTTTTGTTTTTATTCTCTACAATTTCAATAAAATTCTGATAGAAAATTGCTGGAATGACTGATTTTTTTTTATTTGTGATTGGAATATTGTTATAATTGATGCAATTTGCAGAGTAAAATGACAACTTCAAGACAAAAAAATAGATGAGATTTTCCGACGACGGTGGCCGAATTGGTAAATCGATCGGCCACACGACTTGGCGAGGAAGCCAGCCCATCTTACCGCCAAAAAATGTAAAAGGCCGAGTAGGCTATACATGGCAATAAAAATAAATAAATAAATAGATTTTCCTGATGTAACACTCGATGAGAAAACCCAAAAAATCGAGGCCACGTATTTGCATTTTTATTAAAATGAAAATTAGAGACATCAGAGAAATAAAATGAAATTGTGATTGGGAGCTGTACGTACCTGGAACTCGGTTGGCAGCTCCTGATATGTCCAGCATGGCCTCGGCGAGATCCACGCGGAGCTGGTTCTCACCATTGCCCATATCCATGGTTTCGTTCCCCAGGGAGTCACCATAGGCTTCCATGAATCTTGGGGATTGCTCGTAACTGCCTGGAATAAAAAAAAAACAAAGCCAATAAAATGTATATTTAAAAAAAATAATAACATCAGCGCAAATGGAATAGATTAGAAGAGAAATCGTACTTCCAGATCCGTCAATAACAACTGGCACTAGAGGTCTAGCTGCTGCATGAGGCATATTAACAGGATTCGATCTCGCCGGTCGGGATCCACCAGTGACGCCAATTTCCACTGCCTCGGACTCCACCAAATTCACTCTGCATATAAAAAAAAATAATCAGAATGATTTTTAAGTCACTAGGGACGAGGTAAAAGTGGAAAAATTTGGAATAATCAAGGGGAACGTACCCACTGGGGGCATTATACGTCTTGAACACGAACTGAGGCCCCATCCAGAGCCTCCGGTGAGGCCCAGCATGGGTGACAATCTCCACCTGACTCAACCACCGATCCTCAGCAGTGTCCATCTGTCTGGAGTTCTTGGGGGAGCCAGAGTAACACAGCAGTGGACTCGACGATGGCAGTGGAGGTATTATTTCGAGAGAATTGGGTATTCTCAGCAGGGGCCACTGGCCCTTCGCCTCTACCTCGAGCTCTATCATCGTGTCATCACACACTTTTTCTTTTGGGATACCTGGACAATTGCAAAAAAAAATATCACAATGTTTTGAATTTTTATTACTGTCAGGATAAAAAAATGACAGAACTTTCGAGTAATTCGGTGTACGTAGAGATATAGGAATTTAATTAGCAATTACCTGCAGCTGGTTTGGGTTCTAAGTCGTACTGAATCATATTACCATGACAAGCCATTATGAACAATGAATCAACAGCACGTTTTGATACTTTGCTGGTGGAGTCCCGTTGGGAATATATCCAGGCTCGTGGGGGTGCAAAACAGGCGCATATTTTCAGCGGTAATGTTCCATTATCATCTGAGTGCAGGCGTTGTCTCTGCTGTGGTCGACTGCAATGATATTTTTAATGTGTGAACTGGATGGAATTTTTAATGAACAACTAACAATGAAAAAAAATAAAAATCCAAATAACCTGGGCTGCGTCTGATTGTTGGTGTGATTGAGGGCCGATGGCTGGCGTATTTGAGCCAGTGGGTGGAGGATCGTTGGGTGTGGATAGGGGGGAAGTCTGGGATTGGAGTAAGGATAAGCAGAGATGGGCATTTCAGTGTGAGAAACTGGTGAGTGGGATCTGGTTCCATCGTCAGTGAGGCCAGCACTCCTGTGGAATCTCGATAGTCTGTTAACTACGTGGGGTGTCGAGTGAGTTCTCATTCCGACAGGGCCTCCATATGGTGCCACTGGAAACACATGGGTCGTTCCTCGAACAGTGGACACAGCTGCCCACCTGGTGTCACTCGAGAAAACCATGTCCTGGACTTTTGCAGTGGTGTCACCCCTGTGGAGAACGTACAAGTGATGAACAGCGGCGAGAGTTGGCCCTCCAGGATGCGGCTGTATCCGAAACACATGGAAGTCGTGACCCCTGCGATCAGCCGTCATGAGAATGGCCCCTGTTTGGTCAAATGTCATCGCCACAATTGCGTCACTGTGCGCTGTGAAGTGGGCAACCACTGTCTCCATCGTCGGATCATCCAGCTCTTTTTCCTCCTTGGCTGCCTGTAGATCCAGGATAGTGATAACACCGGGTTGGGTGACATCACCGCCTGCATTGTTGAGAGGTAAGGGTGCTGCTGTAGTGCCTGTGAGACTTGAGGCAACTGTTTCCCCCAGGCCTCGGAGACCCTTTCCCAGAGATTTCGCAGCGTACAGCACTGCTGCTGTGTAACTCTGGACACCCTCACCCTCGCTGCCACCACTGCTACGCCTTGCTGGCAGTAATTTTTTCTCACTGTAGGCTAACCACCTGGTTCCAAGGGCAACAGGATTGGGATTAGGCCCAGGACTGAGATAACAAGTGGTCACTGTGAGAACATCATCAAAGGTCCTAGCATCGAATACAGCTATCTTCTCCGAGAAAGTGACAATGACAGATCTCTTGTTCGCCAGAACATCGCAGACAGGATTTTTAAATTTAATGCTCTTGGTCTGCTCTCCCGTCTTCAGGGATATGAAGCTTACACTGCAGAATTGGGGCCCAGGCCCAGCAGAATCGCAAATCGCGACGATGGGGCGTTTTTTCTCGTATGGATCTGGATGATCCTCGTCGGTTAGGGGATCAGGGAGAATTCTCAGGGTACGAACGACACCTTGTCTCCAAGACAATACCTCAGTTGCCTCTCCTGATGCTGCTATTATCCACACTTGAACACCAGTTGCATATCCGAGAACCAGAAGCAGAGGTGGAGTGCTCGAGCCCTCGATGTAATCGGGAAAGAGAGAGGGATCGTTGACGTCACCGTATTCAAATCTCGCCCAGGTTATGGTCTCTTTGTTGTCGCTGGCTGGAATTCCTGCGTAGGCTTGAGGCACTATGTCATTTATTATTCCCGCTACGCTATCGATTATCGATCTGTCGTTTATTGGCTGGGGCGAGATCACTTGGGCCCCCTTGTGCAGCCCTCGTCTGGGCGAGTCCGCCGACATTCTGTTATCATTCGCTCTTATCCTGAAATCCATTAAATCACGGGCTCAATTAAATTATGGAGTCAACATTGTCCCAACAATTTCAAAACTTCAACCTTCGATTGGATATGAATATTCAGTTTCAAATTCAGTCGACCTTCCAATTAATCGGAATGAATAGATTTCATATTTTCATCTGCATGGCATTATTTATTATCTAGATATTTGACTTTAAAATTTAAAGCATCGTGCTCACTTCGGTGATGTTCCATGCCTGGAACATTTCCCAAACATTATATTCACCGAGCACTCAACCATCGAAACCCCCCAGAAAATTACAGAGTTTTGTTAACGGAAACGGCGAGCGAACCCAGAAACATTCGATTTCCTAACAAAAAAAAAACAACAAAGCACAATCCATCCCTCAATTTCCCACGAATCCATTCACCTCATCCCAAAAAATCCAAACAAAACAATTAAAGTCAACTTTAATTAAGCATATAGAACACCGGAATAAACCCTTTAAATTTTTAAATGTCCACTTCTTCCCTTTACAAGAGCTCAAACGAAAAATCGAATAAATCAATAGGAAAATAGTAAAGTGAAATAAATCTCATTTAATGTATCCCTAAAAAATGTATCTGTGAAAAACAAAAATTCTTTTCAAAATGTAGAATACCGCGATGAATTGAAATATACCAAAATGGTGAAATTCGAGTTATTCCATTTTATGATTTGGCTAGTGAAATAGTGGAAGGACAAATAGTAACCTTATCACATTTGACAATTGTCCCCTCCCCAAACATCCCACACTCCCCACCCGGAATTGCCGAACAACACCTGTCCCAAAACAAAAACCACTGTCCAAAAATAAACTTCAATCGGGAAACGTCATGTTATGCAAAATACGCCTTAACAATTACGTAAAAGTCACCAGAAGAAAAACAAAGAGACTGACACGCACACCATTGAACTATTCTCTTAAATAAACTCATTAATCCCTCATTCCTCTCCCTCGCTAAAACAACGAGAATTGGTGGTGTCTCGGTGTTTCAGTGATTAGCTAATAAAAAATCTCCAACAGAGAGAGACTGCGCTATCGTCGTAATCAATGCGACTGTCTTTATCCGTACAGCTGTTTACCATTACATCCACAAACCAACACAAGCCAATACCATGAACCCTCCATCCTTATTACGAATACAAAATAAACATATTAGGTGGAGGGGAGGATTGATTTAAATCGACGGAAAAAAAAAACTAAATGTCAATTGTCGACAATTTTCACTTATTTCATTTCACACGATTTTTTAATGAGTCGAATAGATTTTAATTAGCTGGATTACCGAGAATTATTGAAAAGTGGACGTTGAAGTGGTCGAAGATCGATGAGAAATTACGCAGTTAGTGCGTAGTAGGGGCAGAATGGAATAGAAGCCTAACTCCATAACAAAGGAAGTGCGCCAAACGTCAGTTTAATGGAATGGAATTGTCTCTTTTTTTTTCTTCACTTTTTTTGGGCTTTTTTGGGAGTTGACGTGTATTTAAGGGTGGACTTACGGATCAGGGTGATTTAATAGTCATTGTCGATGAGTTGTTGAGGGTATTAACACCAACTGGATGACAGTTAAAAGTCCGTTTGGTGTGGTGGCCTTCTACTGCGTCATACTGCGACCGACTGACAGGGGCTTGTGTTGTTGGAACATACCACTGATGCCACTGATGCCACTGATGCCACTGCGAAGGCTATTGGACAAGTCGACTTCACCTATCGATCTGCTCCATTATCGATTTCTCACAATTATTTATGCATTTTTTTTTTCACGGGATTTTTCTGAGATCTCTTCTGAGAAATTTCAGTGCAATTCCATGAAAACAGTAATCAGCTGATTGGGGGGTGCTAGGAGCCAACGCAGCCCAGGGACAATGGAGTGTTCTTCGGTGTTGCCAGGTTCAAAGGAATAGAACAGAGGATTGACTAAAGTAGGGGTTTAGTTCTGGGGGTTTGATGGACCCCAACAGCATCGTAGTACCTCACCCCAAGGGAGAGAGAGCGCCACCAAAAAAAATTCAAAAGATTGTTCGAAATATTTGAACAGATCTGTGCGCCGCCTCTACTTTAGGGTCGGCACTAAAATGCACATTCTTCGGCTCATCACTCATGACACTTTCCAGTCATTTTTTACTGAAGGATCTAAAATGGTGGCCGTCGACGAGTGATTAGAACCAATTGGAACTCCCCCCACGTTTCCGAGTGATTTTGACGTTTTAGCGGTATTCTGTGCGTAGTTGGTCGATTAAGTAGTCTTCGAGTCGAACTCTCGAGTGAATCTGCAGTTATTTCCATCCTTGAATGGATAAAAGGTAAAAAAAATGGTGGAAATAATGGAAAGTCTTCCGAGAGATGACCCAGTCGTTGTTTAGGCTGCAATCATGCGAAAGATTAGAAAATTTTTGTCGGATGTCGGAAGAAAAAAAATCACAAAACGGTAGATTCCGCGTGATATCATTCCTCTTACACCTCATACATTCCTCTAAGTTCGTAATAATCGAAAAATAAAAAAGTAATCGAAGGATTGAGAGATAGGCCACGCGTTTTATTTAGAATAGAGAATTCGAAGACGGCATTTTTATTTTTGATATCTCGGGAACTGGCGATTTTTTAAATGATGATCGGTTTCCACTGGCTCGGTGAAATCATTTGATTACTTGCCAGGTGTGGGATCTTCCATTGTTACATCTTCTCCTGTTTTTCAAGTGTCGGGATGAGCCAACCGAAGAGAAATAAGGACAACGCGAATAAGGACATCTCGGAGATTTCTAAAGATGTCTCGAAGGAAGCGAAAAGTCTCATCGATAAAATTCTCGGTGATGTCAGCAAGACGTCGGCTACCAAACAGATCATCATTGGCACCACTTCAGGATGGTAAATATGTGATCAATCGAATTAATCGATTGTACGAAGATGGAAACATTGGGTGGGGCTAAATTAAATTTTTTTCTCATCACAATTTCTCGCGATATAGCCTAGGTGCATCATTTCAACCATAAAGGCTAAATTTGAAATCTCTCTAAAATAGAATATGAGAGGATGAAGGCAAAGAGAATTTTGCTTTTCTTGGACGTCTTTTGAAAACCGTTTTTCATTTTATTTTTGAAGGGCCACTGGCTTTTTGGCGATGAAAGTAGGTAAAGTCGTAGCATTTTCGGTTGGCGGTGGTATTATCATGCTCCAAGTAGCGGCTAATCAAGGCTATATCAAAATCAATTGGAACAAAATCCAGGAGAAAGCTGAAAAACTCTCGGACAAGGTCGAGGAGAAAATAACTGGTGAAGGGCCCAACTTCATGAGTAAGGTAATTAATCCGTGAATTAAGTATCAATTAAACTTCTTCTCAGCATCTTTAGTTGACCATCAGATCTTTCATTCGAGTCTCCGTTCACCCTAGGCCTCCAAAATTCTAAGTGTTCTCTATTTTATCCGCCATATATTGAAAGAGTATTCGTTGGCAAATATATTCTCAATTGCTCTAAATCCGGGAAATTCAAGACACGTGGAACAAAAAATCAACGAAATGTTTGTTATTTACAGATAGGAATGTGGTGTCGACAGAATTCATGCCTTGCAACGAGTTTCCTTGGCGGGTTTATAATCGGCGTTGCTATGTGAATCCCTTAAAAAAATACCAAAGACCGGGGATAACTCGGATATAATCACGAGTTGATCATTCACTGCTGTTTTTAAAATTTTTTTTCCAATTTAAAAATACCTCATTCTTCCATCGAGTGCCTGAGGGCCCAGTTTGCCAGTTAAATCAGTCTTCATGATCAGTCAGATTAATTATAACATGTTTTTCCAATAAAAAATTAGCAAAAAGTCTAATAGACGTTTTATTTATCTAAAAGAAACAAAAATTGTTTCCCTGCAATCAACTCAAGCTGTTCGTGAAGTTTTCAGTAATGAAATAATTTCGAGAACAAATGATTTTTTTTTTGTGGAAACTGTTGGAAAAAAAATGTGGTTTCAGGCCGAGAGATTCGTGGACAAGAAGCTGGATAAAGCCGAACAGCTGGTGAAGAATGGCCAGGCGAAGACACGCCGCTGGTATCACTCCCTGACAGGGGAGGAGGTATTCAGAGCCCGGGAGATCCACTTCTTCCTCGCTTCCTTCGCCGCTGGTATCGCCATTGGCTTTGCATCCGCCAACTAGGTAATGGATTGCTGCACCTCGAGTGTCAGCAAGCAACCCAGCGTACGTGACATCCCCGTGGATCCAGTGACAATTAAACGCAATGACTACATCGAGGAGATGATTGACGAACTCAAAGTCAAGATCATCGAGATGAGACAATTGTTCACTGATTACATGGAGTCTCTGCCCTTCTAAATGGCTGGTGTCAGAAAACGCTGGACTTGCTGACCTCTCATCAGGTGAATTAACTCATCAATTTTTCATCTCGACTGCTCAATAACAATACTACATAAAAATCAAAAACATTTATTATGCCGGTCTGTTCCTGAGCTTTTGATTTGTTCGTTCACTGATGAGAGTGATTATCCTCGAGATGCAGCAATTCTCCTAGATATACTCACGTTAGATCACTAGTGGAGTAATCTCTTACTATTAAAGTCATCGTTGAGGCACATTAACACAATCTAGAGGAAAAATTATGGAGGTTGTACTTATTTTATTTATTTTCGGGGATCAGCTTCACTCGACAGCTTCAACATTTTTATGAAGACCATTCATAAATAAGATGTTTTTTATCATCATTTTTTCGGATTTTTTTTTTCGTGATAAAAATACACTGCAAAGCCTCAATTATTTACTATTAATGTTCATATTGATGAAAGTAATTTTCATTCTTTATACGATGATGGAAAATCTGAATCTAGATGTATTCGTGAAGATAGTGAAAACTGTCAGATGAACCTACCCCATCTCCAGAATTTTCTCCTCCGATAAATTTTCAATTGGACTGATTTTTTTTTTGAGATTCTTTTGTACTCGTCAACTAAAATCACTCGAGTCCCTAGTCAACACTTCTGAACAAATTGTACCAAGTACATGCTCCTAATCTTTCTACTCGAATATTTCGGAGCGATTTTCACTAGTAGCTTATTCGTATGCGGATTCAGTGTAAAATATATCGATGTAGACTTAAAGAATGTTGAATAGTGTGTTAATTCAGATTAATCATGAACTGTACGAGATTTAGGGGAGGACGCGAGAGGGGTAATTATTAAAATGCTTTATGAATTTGAAAATATCTATTTATTGCTCCCTTGAGTTGCTAAAAACGTTTTAAACACTGCATTATGACTCCTCGGAGTCTTCTCCGTAAATTCTGATTTCCATTGCAAAATATGTGCGTGGAATTTTCACCGATTTGGATCATCGTGTCATCATCCTGCGAAATGCAATTATCATTAATAATTATCTGAATAAAATAAAAATATTAAATGAGTAATAAAAAGGATGTGAAGAGTGAAGTATTTATTCTCATTTTTTCTCACCAAGATGATATTTGTGGAGTTAGAGTTGTGCTGCAATTTGCTCCCGGTGATGCCCTCCTGCTTGAGCTTTTGAAGAATCTCCTGGGGATCGATATTGCCGTACTCATGCTTCCGCTCCTTCAACATTTGGTATTTGTCAGGAACCGATGACTCCGAGGCCTTTCGTTTCACTGTCATCCTGTCGTCTAGACTCTTTATCGTGTAGACATTGTCTTTGACGTGAAGTTCTCCAGTGACTGACGCTACACTGAGTCCTGGACGTATTTCACTAGGAATTATATTCCCTGCCAAGTCAGGCTCGATAAAGACTCGACCTTTTTTTCGTTTCAGGGGGAGTTTTATTACTTCTCCTCGTTTGAAGGTGATCAATGGACTTTCCTGCAGAGCATTTGTTCATTACAATCGCGAGAATAATGAAGTAATCGATTAATAATAATGATGGATTTTTTTTTCGGAGAATATGTGAAAATTTGAGAGAGAATTCCTTGACAAAATAGCTCACCCCTACAGGTTCGATTACCAGGTCCAGCCTATGTGGTGCAGAGTAAGGTGGTTGTGTGTAGCTCTCAGGGACAACGAGATTCTCAGGCTTGAGATCTCTGATGAGTTTGTTGGCCTGTGTGAAGTTGAGGGAAGTGTCGATGGGACAGTGGACAGCCTTCATGGCTAGTGGTTGAAAAGGCGCGAGAGCCTCTAGATAAGGAAAATCAGGTTCAGTAAAGATGATTGTGTGCTGGGGATTATTACCCCAGAGCTGGACAAAGTGTACAGCATCCCCAAAACGAAGGCTTGGATGACCGCAGAAGACAACGCATGGCTGACGATAATCCGTGCTGAAACCTTCGGCCCAGGTCGACGTGAAGTGCTTGAGACGTGCGTTCTTCACGAGAAATGCGTGGGGAAAGGGCTCCTCGGGGAGATACACCTTGTTCTGTTTACTCGTGGATAACCACTCGGCGAGGATGTTGGAGTAAGCAAGGGATGTTTCAGCTACGGGGGAGATAAAGAACAGTGGGATTTGGGTGAAGCCCGATTTGTCTAGGTGTGTACTCAGGCACTCGAAGAGGTCGTAGACAACCCCTGATGGATAGCAGGGGATGAGGACGCATCCTCCGCTTCGTAGTGTCATTGCTGGAATTCATAAATTTATTATATTGTATTATAAAAAATATTTAGAAAACTCACCAACAGTCATGCAGAGTTCTCCAAGCATAGTATCAGGATTGGCTGTGGGTGTCTGTGTGAGTCCAGTTAGAATGAGAACATTAGCATGTTTGAGGGTGACCTGTTCCATCGGTCTAGGATGGGTTGTGAGGGTTGATGATCCACTGACAAAAGCGACTTTTTCATGATCACAGGATATGAGCCAGTTGCTGCTCCCCAGGCAATAGCCAGAGCTGATGGGGGTGACAGTGAGTGCCCCGTAGATGTCAAGTTTTTGGTCGTACCCCACGAGCTGAATATTTGAGAGAGCGGAGTTGACAGCAGCCATGGAGTAGAGATGCCTCCACGATTTCGGTTTGAGGGCATCGGCCAGAGGTGACGGTAGCACGTGGAGCATTTCTTTCCAATGCTTCGCCAGGGTGGCTCTTGGTGTCTGCTCGATGTACTCCACCAGCTCTTCCATGAAGAATTTGCCGATCTGCAGGGTAGGCTCTGTCGCATAGACGATCCCTTTGAATCCTGTCCCCTCGGTGACGAAAGGAAGTGCCAGCATGCACGTGTAATTCGATATGAGGATTGCATCGATCTCGGAGAAATCGACGATTTTTTCGAGAGGAGGCGCGAACTCAGGGGTTGAGTCAACGAAAATTCTCCCACAGCAGTCTTTTAATTCACCTTCTATCTGCCAGTCCTGGTGGTTATCCCTGGGTAACCAGCTGGGTAGGGAACTGAATTTTGCACTTGGAACCACTGGCATCGGCATAAAATTCAGGATTGACTGCATGTTCAGGCCGCAGTCCAGCATCAGGGTGATGCCCTTGAAACTCAGGACCAAGCATGGCTTTGTTGGCTCACTTGAAAGGCAATACTGAAAATAATCAATGCTTTCAACAATCCAGCGACTAATTTACACATGTTCTCCAAATTAATACAAAAAAAAGAACTCAATGAATAATGACGCATAAATATTCCAAACATTTCAAAATCCAGTTCAATAATTATTTTCATGGTGATAAAAAAATCCGAATTGCGAAATTACCGCGCATTTTTAAAAAAATCGTCTAGTGGGAAATCGAATTGAATTCATTATCAACTAGAAAATTGTAATTGTTATTAGATTAGTGTGTATGTATATTATTGTTGTGAGAACTATAGCGAGAATTAAATTCATCTGCAATTATTGGAATGATTGGAATGCTCTGCTTCATAAATTTAAAACGAGTGAAGATCCGTGGCTTACCAGCTTCATTATTCTGAAAGTTTATTGATATTCATGAATTTAGGGTCTCGTTTCTGTTCACGCGTGTTCAAGTTGCCACAAATACAACAACAACCAATACCTTGAGGTTGCTTGATGCTGAGCTGCGAACGTAATGGCATAACCTCTGTGGTGCCTTCACACGTTCTCACCGGCGACAGCTCCACTCAATTTCAGTTGTTTGTAAACATAAAATATAACGCGATTTGTTGAATTTCATAAATATTAAAAATGTGCGAGGTGATTGTCCTGTTCGAGGGCTACTCCAAGATCCTTGATGAGGAGAGGATGGATGCTAATTGCTCTTGTGTCCTCATCAAAGGCCCCAGGAACGTTATTGTTGACACTATGACAGCTTGGGACCGGGACAGAATCATCGAAGGTATCGAACATCGTGGACCCTTTTTTTAATTATAAATAAATTGAGATTGATATTGGAGAATTCAATGATTTTTTCATCATCGCTAGGACATTTTTTTCCATTTGAACACGAAATTTTATTATCAGAATTATCGATCGCTCTCTTTTAGTATTCATTAGTCAAACATGTTATGATGGATGGATAATTTTTTCTCCAGCTTTATCTTTTCACAATCAAAAGCCAGAAGACATTGATTTTGTTGTCTGCACACACGGCCATGCAGATCACATTGGCAACAACAATTTGTTCCTCAGCGCTGAACATATCGTAGGATCTAGCTTCCACCGAGGCTCAGTCTTCTACGAGAAAAATCTTCAGGATGGTGAGACACTGAATCGATCTTGTTCGAGATAATTATTGATTAATTGAAATGTCTCGATTTATTTCATGTGAGTACGTGTTGACTGAATTATGTTGGGTGATGGTTTCTAGCTGAATATCAACTGTGCGAGGGAGTAAGAGTCCTGCCAACACCTGGACACACTCACGAGGACGTGTCAGTCCTCGTGGAGACTGTAGTTGATGGCAAAAAGGCGACCATTGTCATCACTGGGGATTTATTCGAGAAGGAGGAAGACCTCAAGGACTCATCGATCTGGGAAAAACTGGGAATTCCAGAGCTCAAGAAGACTCAGGCCCTCAACAGATTCCTGGTAATCAAACTCGCTGATTACATCGTACCTGGCCATGGGAAAATGTTCAGGGTCACCGAGGAGACCAGGAGAATCATCGAGGAACAGATCCTGGATCCGTGATTCAGCCGTTGAGGAAATTAATCACTTGATGCATCGTACTCCTTTCATTATTCTTATATCTATGAATATTGCATACATTCATGTACTTTTTGTTCATTCATTTAATGAGGAATGAGCGAGTGTATTACTAATATATTTTTCAACAAGTAGTGTAATTTTTATGGGCAAGCTTTATTGAAATTATGAAATGAATAAGTGTCTTAATTATTAATATTCAAGAGTCGGAGATAAAAATTGTACAGCTTTTGGGTCAATAAATAATACTCCAACAAATAATATGATTTTTATAAATTAACTTTATTAAACACTGGTTTCAGTAATACATGAGGTCTCACTTCAATCACGTCTATGGTAAAAACGATTTGAACTTTATATATTAGTCTACTTCCATTTATTTATATATAATGAAATCAATCAAGACATTTATTGCGTGATTTACGAAAATTTGGAGGAAATATTCGAAAGGTGTCGATTATTTTCCATCATGTTTTCAAATTTCACTGTAGAAATTTTTCACGCAAAACCCCAATTAAATTGCAGAAATTCTCCCTTAAATTCAGGAAGCGATGAAAGAAATAAATCAATTAGTTTTTGTTTCGTATTGATTGGGCAATCACAGCCAAAATCTAAGTTAAGCATTAACGCAAGAAACTACATCTCTTGTTTCTGGTCGTGTTTTTCAACTTGTGGGATTAAAGATGTTTCACATCCATATATAGCCAAAATTCCGGTTTCTTAATTTTTTTGGCGAGTTATCGATGGGATCACCTTTAATGGGCTAGCTGCTATTTTCTGGTAACAATTGGCACGTTTCCGTGATTCCACGTGTTTGATTCTCGGTAATTGCGATGAGTGCGTGGATAATTTAGCAATTAGAAAATTTTCGAGGAACACGACTGAATCGAGGAGAGATAGTAAAATATCTGTGGCACTTTTTCTGTATCACTCTCAAAATCAGAGATATTCCTTGAAAGTTCGAGTAAAAAACAAGTGAATTTGTTGCTCTTTATCTCTTCGCTACTGCATTTAGTCTCGGGGCAAGATTTTTGTACATCTTTCCGGATAAATAATACTGATTCCAAAGGATAAACTCTGTCTGATTCGAGTAAATGCACCATTTTCCTTTTTCTCAACGAAAATAATCTGAAGGTTCAGAAAGAATTTTCATATTACGCGATAAAAGAAATAATTTGCTACAGAAATAATTGCAGTGAAATCAAATTAATGAAAGTAATAAACAGTCAATGATTCTGGTGACATCGATGATTTTAAGGCCTCGAATGTAATTATTGTTCTCTGAATTAAAAAATAGTGACCTAAAATTGTGATCTAGAGAAAACGGGGCTTTTCATTCTCGTTGTTTCATATCCACTAGACAGTTACAGAAATGTGAGGGCACTAGACCCTGGCCTCAAGTGATCGTGTGAATGCGACGCAATTGCTCAGCAGGTGACTGTGAAAAAAATATTAAATTCCAAAGAAAATTAACAAACGTAACGAAAAAAATTCATAGCCGAATGCAATTGAGTAGCTGGAAGATTCTTCATGCAGCTTGAGATATTAGACCAGCACCGAAGGAAGTTGTGAATGAAAATTAAAAGTTCAGAGCATTCTGAACCAGTGAGAAGAACAATTATTCATTTCCGAAAAACTGCCGAAAAAAATATTCGACCTATTCGGGATTAAAAAAAATTTTGTTGCCTTTTTTTCAATGATCAAGGGTGAAAAATTAATTCATTCAGTCTTAAACTAACAGTTTTATCAGTACTAAATCACAGTATAAATAAATTAATCACTAAGAAAATTATGTTCAATGTGCGATGTCTTCAGTTCGAGATCGAGAACATTTTTTAATGGGGAAAAAATATCAGTGGATTTCTGAAATTCGAAATGATCAATTTTTTGAATTCGATTTTTAAAATTCGACTTATCTCACAATAGATTAATAATGGAGAATGAGAATTCTCGTAAGTTCTTAAATCCTCTCATAATGTTCTCAGAGGAATAAATCCATCCATGCTGATGAGACTGCGGTTCGCCTCGTAATCATCGCGATCGTCATCACGACTTAATAGTCTCCTCTAGAAAATAATAATTCAGAGAAAATACTGGATAACGTTGTCCACAAATAAAGACAATTACACACAAATAAAGACAATTTATCCCCAGGGAAATGAAATTCAGTAGCAAAGTGAAAAAGCCAGCTGAGTCGAATTTTCCAATTGGTTAAACATCAATTGATCTGGAAAATTATGGATTTCAAGAGAAAATATATTAGACTCGTGGAAAATTTAATCAGCTCCTACTAATTCAATAAAAGCAACCATTTTTGCCTGAATGTACAAAAAATTCCTTGAATTTATTCCCATTATCAATTTTTTTTATCCGATAGCTTTCCAAATAATCAATAAAGAAATTGAATTCTAATTTTCTTACTTTAGCGCTTTACTACTGAATATTAATAATAATCATGCATTTTTATTAAAAAAAAATTCTCACGAGATTCCTCCGCAAAACCTACGAAACGCTAAATTAAAACTCGATATGGACGCAATTTCAAAGCGATAACACAAGCAAAGTCATAACAATTTTTAATTCGGGATTGCCTATTCGTTTTCTGAAGAAATGTCTCTGCGAAATAAATAAGGACATCATCAGAGACATTAAACATAATTTTCGGTTGGAAAGCGAGTGGAAAGGATGACGCAATTTGTTAGTAAAATTTTTATATTCTTTAAAATAATTATCCAATCATCATTGTATCATAGACGATGAAACCGTGATACACACACTTCCATCTGTACTCATCAGAAATCGTAGAATAAAGCCCCACGTTCTCCTTCACATTTCAGCGATAATAAATTAAAAATGAAATTTTTTAACGCTAAAGAATGTTCCGTATACAATTATTTACGAAAAATAATGATAATTTATATTGAATATTATACAGTTGGACACTCATCGAGTCGTGTATATATCATTGTCACTCGATACTTTCGTGTTATTGAGAAATTGCAGTTTCATTGGAAGAAATGAAAGTGTTAGTGATCATGCGATAGGCAAGAGTCTGACGAATTCGGTGAAATTAGTTAGGGCTTTTCCCTGACTAAAATTAATTAATCTGTTGAAATATCTTGCGATTAGTCGGACCAATGAGGAACGAAAAGACGTGGACATTGTGGAATAAATTATATAAAAAACATTGAGAGTACTTTCTTATTGCATTCGCTGATGAATATTATCTTCACGTTTTGGTTTTTTCGTAGCCTCTATCTCCGGTTCAAGTTAAGGATGACGTAGGGTTCACCAGGATTGTTAAATTCTGCAGCGTTGTTAGGCTGATAGCACGGATTGACAGTGTAATTTAAATTTGGCTGATGAAAACTCACCGGCTCGATACTGGTATTCCATTCTACGTCCTGTGCTTCCAGGCACAGATCGGAGTCTGAGTCTGCTTTTCTTGTTGGATCCTCCTTTTTTCCAAAAATTTAATATCTTTATTCATTAATAATTATTTAAAAAATGTTATCATTCCCTATTCTCACACATATAGAAGGCATTCCAGATTATTTCAATTTGCCAAAAAATAATTAACTTTAAAAAATCTAACCTGCGACAATTGCTGAGCTGTCGTTAAAAGCCTGGCAAGGGGTGTACAACAGACTGGCAAAGTCTCCAGTAATGTTGGTCGGGAGTGGGTGAGCAGTGGCTTCATATATCGAGTATCGAAATCACCCCATATCCGTGCAAGTAAAGCTTTCTCGTTGGCTTTACCAGCGGCACTGCCCCCAGCCTGCAGGGAACCGTCTTGCATCGAATTGTACTGTCCAATTGTAATTCCCAAATTCGTGAATTAGTAATTTTTCAATTACAGTCTTTAATTTTCGAATTTCTCTCCGAAAAATCAATAGTATTGAATTTCATTATACTCTGATTAATTAGTGCAGCATGCAGACTCTATAATATCTACTCAATATTATACTCAACAATGAATAATTAATTCAGATGAATTAATAAACCCAAATAATTCTAAATGAGGAACAGGAATGGACTAAATCATATGGAGAACCAAGCAAGACGAGCTGCCCCAGCTGTACCACAATCTCGATCCATTACTCTATTTGCAATGACTAAAAAAATAATGAGATTTCATAAAATTGTTCGAGTGTTAACCTACCGGGGGGGTTCGCTCCCGACGCATCTCCAGAGTTCCGAAGCCACCTTCGCCACCGGACTATTCAAACAATTTCAGTTTATTTTATTAATTCCTTGTCATTCTCTTGGCTCGATTAATTGATTAATCCCCACTCTACCATTAATAGAAGATACTATTAATATTCAAGAAACTCTAGTAATTATTATAACTGAAAAACATTCCATTTGAAGAAAAAAATTAAATTAAATAAATCAGTACTGAAGTGAAAAAATGAAGGAAAAAATTTCATTTTTGAGATCAATCGATATTTAATCGCTACAGCTTCTCGGAAATGATTTTCTAGAATCTTCTTGGGGTAATTATTTTTTCAAAAATATTAATGAAAATTAAATTATATCATTCATAGTTCATGCCAATATGCACTGCCCAAAAATCCAAGTAATTGTCCCATAATCAACCATCCCAGCCCTGTTAACATTCTATCATCTAAAAATCGAAATAAAAATGTGATTGTGTTAATGAAAAAAAATGGTACAGGTGCTGTTACAATTAATTAGTCATTACGAACCCCACTAGTGTCCACTGAACTGTATACCTGTGTCGGGCAAGCCGTGGTACAAGAGGGCACAGTGATTATTAAATAACTGACAGTGGCAAATTAATTTCAAAAGCTGGGGGGATCAAAAAAAAATAATAATTATAGCGATGTGTTTAATAATTTAAACTTTGAGGATGGATTAGCATTTGCTAAAATATATTAATAATAACTCAGTAAAAAGGGCGTGGGGAAAAAAATGGAATAATGCAATTTGAATCTCTGGGGACTTACGTTTCGAACACTTCCGTGGGAGAGACCTTCCACCTCTTCATCCACACCAACTCTATAAATTCAGTTAGTCGGAGATTAGAAGATGAGACCAAAGATGAGAAATGAAAATATTTATAAAATACTCACGGTATTTTAAACCAACTCAAAAATTGTGTGGTGGCCCCTCCCTGGAATATAACTGTGAGAATAACAATGAGACTAGTCGTCGTCAGCATAGCTTTCCTGGCGTCTGACACAGTGTTTCTGATAGCCAGTGCAAAGCTCATGGCCCCCCTCAATCCCGCGAAGAACAGCATGTGCTGGTGATTCATCGGGATCTTCGGCTTCCTAGCCAGATTGAGAAGAAACGACAGGGGATAAACGTTGGCAGCTCGTCCTATCAGTGCACACACAAATCCCGAGAATATAAAGGCAAGATCGATTCGGTGCCTTGGGAAGGTGAACATCGACACCCCGATGTAACTGAAGATGAAGTTTTCAGCGAGGAAATTGAGCAATTCGAACAGCTGCTTCGTACGCTGTCGCGAGTCAGGGCTGAGATTATTGTAGGTGTAATGGGCCTGACATATTCCACAGAATAAAACAGCCACAACGCCTGGTTAAATTAAATTGAGTTATGCAATTGAATAAATATAAATTATTGAAAGTTAATGACAATTTTCGATTGTCGGAGTGGTTTACCGGTCAGATCTGATACCTCAGCTATTAAAAATGTACTGTAAGACATGAGAACAAATAAAGCTGATTCTAAGAGTGGAAAGTCCCTGACTCTCGTGAATTTAGTTAGAAGGGCTGTTAGACACCCCATGGATGCGCCAATGAACAGTGACAGGCTGAATATTCCTAGAAAATCCCCCAGTGCTTGGAAGAAAGCCACTGTCTCAAAGCCCCCAGAGCCTGTCTGATACCTCGTCCCATAGTTCTGGATTGAGCTGAAAAAAATATATCCATAACATTTTTTTACGATCCTTAGTAAATTCTTTCAAAAATTTCAAGAATTTCAAGGAATTTCAAGGATTTCAGGGAATTCTATATTTTATTTTTCAATTGTTTACCCGCTGAGAACGATAGCCACTGCATCATTTAACACACTCTCCCCAAATACCAGAGCGTAGAGGTTGACGTCCACGTGGAGATCATTGAAGATTGAGATGATGGTCAATGGGTCAGTGGGGGAAATAAGGGCACCGAAGTAGAGGGTGTCCAGGAATCCGTAGGATTGGGAGAGATGCGGGATGAGTTGAATAAAGGTGTACATCAGAGCTCTGTAAAATAAAAATCCAAATATAAATTTATTTCTTGTTTCCTAATTAAAACTGCGGAATAATTGCAAATTAATTGATAAAAAAAATCCATATCTCACCCGATAACAAACGATGATATTGTCGTGCCCAAAAGGGCGTACATTAAAATGGCTCCTAAATTACGGAAGAAATATTTCTGAAAAACATACGATTAGATTACAAGTCTCTCAATCGTCTCCCATTAAAAAAAACAATGCTAAATGTCTCATAAATATTTACCCTCTTCAAGCTATACCCTGCATGGAATATAATTGGTGGTAGAATGATGTTGAAAAAAATTTCTGGATCGAAAGTGGCCTGAAAACCGTAAACAGTTTATATTAAAGCTACAATCTATCATTAAACTCGTGACTTGCGATAACGACAAATCGAAAATACGCATTATTCCTTTGAATGGAGAAAAATTCTCGAAAAAAATTCCGAGCAACCAGACGGCTAAAAAAAAAATTCACGTTCGTGGACTGGAATTTTTCTCAATAAATTTTCTCTCTGGTTTTCTCACCTTCAGATCGATTTCACTGTTTTGTTTGAATATTTCACCCCGGAAGGAGTACGCAAATGTTTTATTTTTTATCGTACCACCGCCTTTGTCCTCCGGAAAACGCAACCACAGCGAATCAGGTGGTACCGTCTGCTTATATTTGTTCTCAGGTTCGGGCTCGACGCGCATATGAGTGATAGGACACGTTTTGAAGACATATCGAATTATTGCACCGATAATCAGTCCTGTGGATTATTCAAGGAGTTTTATTTCCGATCCCATAAAAAATTTAAAGGAGGGAGGGGATAAATGGGGCAGACTCTTTGTTGTATATTTGATGAGATGGATTGAGTGCAACTTATCATATCGGGTAATGAGCCTCCTGGATTGTGGGGTAATTGATCCAGCCATCGTTACGATTTCAATAGTTTTTCATTTTTTTCAGACGTTCAATTGTACTCGGATTGAAGAATTCGTGATATAAAAATAATTAATTAAACTTACATAAAACAAGATAAGCTATCCCCGTAGATAATCACTTTTTCAGCAACGCCGTGCTATTTTTGGGAATAAAACATCTTCAAATCATTATCGACAATGATTTTCCCGCAGTTGTCAACCGAACATTTTCAATAGAAAAAAAATCTCGAGTTGTACCAGGAAAAATCAGGCGACAACCCGTGACTATCAAGAATCATTTCTTAGAATAAAAATTCCATTGAACTACGACAGCTTTCAATTACCCTCAGGTTTTCTTAAGATCCCCATGGTCGAATCCCCCATTAAAAAAAATCAATAGAGCTCAATCCGATTGAATTGTAAGCATCACAAAGTGATGAAACCATCTCCAGACACTGACAATATATCCCGGCGCGATAAAAATAAACAATAAAAGAAAAAGAAATAAAAAAATCGCTTCACGTGCAGATATTTGGTGTCCCTCTCACAGACGAATGTTATTGTTAGTCATCATTGATTGCTAGAGCTGTCAACCATGACGCAATAATAGAGATAAAAAAAAAGTTGTCTGACCAAAGAACAAACTGTCAAACGAGTGGTACAAATGAAAATAGAGGTTGTGGATTTTTAGGATAGGATTACCATAGATGACAGCGAGTCCTGTCTCGTGGAGGAACCGCAGACGACGATGCTTGAAAGTCCAGATCGTGAGGACCGTGAGGATCAGGAGAAGAGTATAGAGGAGAAGATTGAGACTGTCAATACGGTGCAACATCTGGGCCTTGGCGTCCAACTCGATGTCCGAGGCAGCTCCATCACAACTATTTATTAATAACGATGTACACAGTAGAATAAATCCACGATCAACCATCTTCAATGATCTTCAACCGGCCACTGACGCACTACTGTCTCTCACTGTTGACTGTTTTACTGAGCAACTCACCACCGACTCACTTCAATCCTTTCAACTTATCCAATTACAAACCAATTTTCAATTGGGTGACTCCCAGGAGCGCCACTCTTCCCCCATCAAATGCAGGAAACTTAACGGAATAAAAAAAATTAAATATGCGAAAAGAATTGAATGAGAAATAAGAACCGCGCAAATATTTAATTGTAATATTGTCAATCCGTAGTTACTGTCATAATGTTTGTTACGACGATTACAATCTTCGTGGCTTCTCATCACAGGAAGCCATCATATTTCACACCCTGAAGGCGCCAAATGTGGTATTTATTTGAATGAAGTGATTTTTTGAAACGAAGAGGAATGAAGCGTGCGGTTAGAATGCTACACGGGCGCTCAAAAAAATATATGGAGATATAAAATGCTCAAGGTAGTGTTACATAATATTTTTCTTCTTTATTCCATAATCTCTGTATATCCATTACACCTCACAGCTTGTGTTTACATTTCTACAAAATAATTTACTTGTGCGATTCCTCTACAACAACACCCAAGATAATTCTTCAAATGATTTCAGAGAAGTCTTAAAAGTTTATTATTTTTGTTGTTAATAGTCGTGATAGTTTAACAAACCAATATCATTGGATTTTTAAAATGAGAATAAAACTTTGAGAGATTTTCAACAGAAATAGAGAATTTTAACAGAAAATTTCATTTGGAAAAAAATCGCTAATATCTTCGGAGAAATGTGTTCATTACGTGATAATATCCACTTATTTCATAAACGTGACGTATCCATGTGATTCTGTCACTCTAAAACTGTAACATCTTAAGCGTTATATGAAATACTATTACTGAACAATGCTATTCGTATTGCTGCAAATACCAATAACTAGAAACATAAAAGTAAGAAATACTGCCGCCTAATGTTTCCATTACGTGAAAACTAGAATTAAAATTGTTCTCTTTGTAGACCCATTTAATTCAGAGAATTATCGGAATTGAATCGAATTATCGTTCGACAATGTATCACAGGCTGAAAACTTCCAATCAATGATGGACCAAAAGTCCAAGCAATTCTACCTCGACGCATTTCAATAATAATCATTTACATAGGAAGAATCCTCTCGTTATTCTTTTCCTTCGAAAAATTTCGAGAAATTCATTCTGGATACAGATGAATGCCTAACTCATATCGATTTCTAACTACACAATCAATTTATTCTAAATAATTAATATGTACATAATTGACTAAGGCGATTCCTCTAAAAAATCATAGGAGCAAGTACTCCTAGATCCTAAGAACTTTCTCTTGAGTTGCATTACCTTACGTCGTTTCTACTCGCCATGTGAAAAGCGTTAGTCCACATTCAACTGAATTCAATAAAATTTAACGAATGATCTAGAGAGCGATGAGTGTGGATCGGCAATTCTGCCATCGTTCGATGAGCTTCTGCCTTTCATTTAAATGCTGATCAGAGAGAGTTCTGGCTACAGAGACCTGTCCATGCTTAAGTTTCCGAGGGTCTAAATTAGCCCCAAAAGTCTGTACACCTTTAGCAAATTTCGAGAATGGAGAGAGAATTTCCTTCGCAGTATTTGCTACAGGCGACGCCGCATTTGCAACATTCGTTTTGAGTGATTTTATGGCAGATTCACTCTGTGATGATGTTATATTATTGACTGTTAGATCCTGCTCTGAGCTGCTGCGTTTTTTATCTCCACCGGAGGGATCGAGCTGCATGTTTTTATTGGGATGGACATTCCCATCGACTTCACTAGAGGAATGACTGATGTTCTTCGTCAAATTTAAGGTGGAAGGTGGCAGGGCTCTCTCTCTCTCTTCCTTCTCGGTTTCTCCAGCTGCTTGAATTGTGATCTCAGGGGCTGGTTTATCACCCTCTGATGGTGACACCAAATTCAACCCATCAATCGCTAAATCAGCTTGACTGTAATAAAATTGGGAATTTTTATCTTCAACTCCAGTGAATTCTTGAGGGACTGGACTACTTCCACTGCTTCCACCACTGCTGTGGATTTCCTCAGGGTCACCACTTCTTTTTCCTGCTAGGTCATAATTTCCAACAGTGAAGGTGGTTTTTTTACTCGCATCTGGGACTTTTGTCGAGGATTTATCCGATTTCTTTCCTCCACTGAAGGTGGAACCTAATTTATTCAATTTGCTGAATTGCTCTGACATATTACTCAGGGCTTTCGTCCCAGCGCTTTTGAGTGCTAGGAGCTGGGTTTCAGAGACATTCCTGGTTATTTGAGGAAAAGAGGAGATGTCAAGGAGAATTGTTGATCCTTTCGCTTTGACTGGTTTACTCGTTCGTTTGTCCAGAGGAACATTCATGGCGACGGGAATCTTCGGGAGTGCAGCAATCTCAACAGCAACTGAAAATGTCTCGCAAATAGCTTTCATTGACTCAATCATTTCTTCATCAGTTTTTATGACAACTGTCATATTATTGAAGAACCGAAGGTTGGTGCTTCTGAACATGTGAAAATATCCGTATTCACTGCCCATTTTGTAGTTTATCCTGATGCAATGGTGCTGTTTGTTTTTGAAGAGAGATACTCCACTGTCTGGCTGGCCGAATTCGATCATTACGATTTCGGAAAGTAAAACTTTCTGGTAGTTTGTCACTTTGTCGATCTGATCGTCGTAATCGGCAACGTAATAACTGTCCCTCGTGAGAATCAGAATTGAATCCATTTCAGTTTCACTAGGATCACCTGTCAATGGATCCGCATCAATGAGACCCCAACTTCCTAAAATCACTTCGGGATCGGGGATTAGAAGCTTCTTGCAGTCTTCGACCAATAGTTTAACGTGGAATGCTGTTGCAGCATTGTCCTCTTCCTCATTACGCTCGTGAAATATTTCCTCATTTACCGAGTGACCTAACATTAAGTCAATACTGGCTTGTCTGTAGACGTCTTTGAATCTATTTAAATAATACCTGGAACAGAAATTTTAGTTGGACATTTCATTCTTCGCGATTCCTTGAGAATATGAAAATCCAAACAAAATCTACAGTTCTATCAAAACAGGAGCACATTTGGGGATAAAAAAACATTGAATTGTGAAATTCAGTGTAATATTTCAATTTCGTGCATTATTATTGTAGAGAGTACGAGTAAAGGTGAATGAGTGAGCGAGTGAGTGAGTGTTCAGCTCTATTCATTTATGTTTAATACCTCGGAACACGGTAGAATGTAAAATCTTAATAAATACGCGTTAGTATAATTTATTAATGACTGATTGGAAAAATTGGAGAGAATTGAAAAAAATGTTAAAATCATGACCAGAATGCGGTTTTATATATTTCAGTAGCTAAAATGGCTCTTTCATTCAACTACAAATTCAAAAGCAAATAATTTACAATCAATGATGAAAATACATGGACTGGAAAAATGAAGGAAAATGGGATTTTATGGGGACGAACCTGCCTAGATCGTAAAGGACACTTGCAAATAGGATATCAGGATGTTCTGCAATGAATAGTTGTATGTTCGGTGGTTTTACGGGTATTAATTCGAGACAACAACTGTCAAGTATTTGTAAACAATGCGACCAATCGTCCCTCAAACTCTCAACGTCGACTTGATTACCGACCGTGAGGTCAATCGCCGCTTGACGTGCCTCATCCAAAAAGTGTTGCTGGTAATATCTACGGTAAAAGGTGTTTCTATCAGGAATTTTGAGGTCTGGTGAAAGACCGTGTATGAGTGGAGGGTAGTGAAAAATTTTTAAATGGCGAATGCAAACGTTTCAAGTTTGAATTTTTACCTGTTTGCCGAGTTTACACCATCTTTCATGAGTCCTGTAAATTTTCTCTCACCGGTTCTCGTATAATCTCCCTATAAATCCATTTATAAATTAATTGAAACGATAATTGGCGAAATAAAATATATCTAATTGTGCAGAGGCCTATTTACCTTCAATGCATTGGTTCCTGCATATTGTTTGCTAATAATATCACCATTATTAGCCCATAATAATTGAAAAGTCTGTCTAAGATTCGTTGGTAACGTGCCATCAGGGGGGATCAATCCCAATTTCGAAAACTGCATTTCCATGACAGTTTTTCCAACTGCAGTCTGTACGACATTTGTTCTGTCCAAGCAGTCAATGCAGTTTATCCTGAATACTCCTTTCTGGGAGCAAATTGGACCTTGAGCGTCATGCCAGCAATAACCCATTTCCGTAAGAACTCCACTCAGAGCATTCACCAGGATCGAAACATTTTCAAAATGCATTCCCCGACAGTATTCATGGAAATCAAATGTTGTGTAAGTGATGTCCTGATGATTATAATTGATTACGTGATTATTGTACGCATCCCAGATTATTTTCTCCTTTCCACTTTGTTCTATCAAATTCACAATGCATATGGGACCATAATACGATAATTCCTCTTCAAAGTGTTTTTCGAATGCGACCTGCGTCTCAATTTCATCTGGAATAATTTTAAAAATATTTTATTTCAGTTGAATTTGATTAAGGTTTAAAATGGTATTTCGATTTATACCAGTGGGACTGATAAATACTACAATTAATCCTTTTTGAATAAATGATGTAGTGCAGTGTGATGAATAGATTTATTGTTGGCGTTACCTCTATCAATGCGCGGTGGAGGTCTATATTTATATCCTGGTTGAGACCAGTAGACTGGAACACTTCCACGGACCTGAACGAATGACACTTGATGGTCATGATACCACACCAATTGTTCTGTCTCCACATAATTGGCACACTTTCCCGCTTCATCCACTCCTCGCCTCTTATATCTATTAATTATTCGCGTCTGGTTAGTTGGTGTCGTCATTGTTTAAAATCAATAATGAATTTATGAATTCTGTGCACAAGGGCGGTGACACAATAAAATAATAAATAGTAATGAATAAATATTATAAGTTATTGCACCAAGCCAGCGATTTTTCACGGGTTTAAATTATGAAATAATGAAAATATGGAATGCCTCACGTTAGATGAATCAAGCTGAAAATAATGATAATTATTGACAATAATTCACCTGGTGCCAGCTCGAAATCTACTCCTTCTGGAAATGATGGCAAGGTTGAATGTTTCATACTGCGGTTGATTATCATATCCCACTTCAACTTTACATTTTTCAATCTGAATATATCCTTGGATAATAGGTAGAATCCAATAATTCGCAGCGTCACTCTATCGAAAAAAAATCATAAAAATAAAATCGCTAAAGTATAAAAAATTCAACGAATTATTAAATCAATCATTTGAAATGCGCCTCTTTAATGAGTTCAACACTCATTTACATCAAAAAACTATCTCTCTAATCATTGAAAAATTTATTACAAAAAGTTGTTACTTCATTATATTATATACTATTATTCCACTTACGTTTAAATTGATGAGATCTTGAAGCATGTATTTGTTCCAAAAAAATCGATCGTCAACGGTCTTCCACAGGGGTTTTTCTTTTTCCCCCATTCCTTTAGATTTCTCCTCGTTCTCCCTTTGCCTCTGTAGACAATTGGTAATATCTCCATTTTGACAGAAGAAGAATGAATCCGTCTCGCCAAAAACTTTGTTCAGTTCCTCCAGTATTCTTCTCTCAAACTTCTCCTTATCTTTACCAATACTTCGTTTGATCACAGTCGACTTCACTTGAGATGTAGCAATAGCTGCAGCCTGTTGAGTCGTATTCTTGATAGTATTCGTAGCGCTTTTAATTGTTCCCCAGGTCTTCATGAATCCGGTTTTCTGAGGAGCGTCGAACGAACTCCCCATTGAGATCTTCGACATGCCTCCATGTTTTTTGCATCGATTTAGACCCAAATCAGAGTTTTCTGAACCAATTTGTAAGAATGCTACCGATTTAATCTTGTGGACGATACGGTTTCCATATAATTCTCCTACTGTTGATATATCCTTTATCAACATTATTCTGGGTTCCATGAAGGATGTTTGTTCGATTTTTCCAATTATTCCATGACAAATTCCAAGACATTCCAAATTGTTGGCTGTTGCCCATTCCCAATCTATGAATTCATTAATTTCCTCATGAATTTTACATTCATGAATTTTTTAAAGCTGTTATTTTACAATAATAAAGACATTCCCAGAAAATGTAGGAATTCAAATATCATATTTTTTTCAAATTCTTTTTTACATTGAAATTTTTTTTTTACATTGAAATTTTTCCTAGAAATAACATTTCTCGAAAATTTTATTTGCATCGCAATTTGAAAATAGACGAGTGACACACTTTTCATTTTTTAAATATACTAGGTAATTATTGGAAGGAAATCGGGGTAAATTTTTTATAAAAGTGGGGAAATCTGTTGTCATGCAATGAAGTTGCCTAAATATTTCATGAACAATGTAACGAATGATTAATGTTTGACCCAAATAATCAGAACTATTTATTATTTTCTATTTTTAAATCTTCCTCTTCGTTTCAAGCTAGAGCACTTTTGACCACTGTTTGCAGAGATTTTATAAAATGTGCGATTTTTCGGGATTAAAATAATGATAAAACCCTGAATGACAGTAAAATTAAACTGTCAATTTCACGACCTGCCCTCATTTTAAACAAAAAAAATCTAATAATAATAATTGATTATTAAATACTGTACCAGCTTTAGCGGAGAATTCTCCAGTTATTCTATCACACCACAAGTTGTGTCTCTCCTGTACGAAAATGAAATGGGTGTCACTTCTAAATAATTCCATTTTAAATGCCAACGATAACTGACAGGCGAAATTCCACCCAAACTCCAAATTCCAGAACAAGAGAATCCCAAAAACCATTAACTAATTTTGCACTTCACCCACAGAGACTCAATCTAATTAACCAAAGCCCGCGTGAAACATTTCGGAAATGCTGGCAAATTTCACCAATAACCCGAATATTTATCCCGGAATTTCATGTTCAGTTTGACATTTCTCCACTTCGAAACCTGCGCAGCCATTTTTATCGTATTTACGTGTGTAATTGTAAATGTAGGCTAGATCTCCACCCGATCCACCCCCACAATCCACAACCCAGTGTTTGCCTTGCATGTGCCTAACCTCTATCACATACCCTGAGATGAATAACATGAAAAATGATGTAACATAACCTCAGAAACGTGTAGTCTACATTTCAGAGCAGTTTGTTGAATTTCCCCTCAAGAATCAGTAAATTATTTCCCCAAAACTAAACGCAAACGATAACCAAAAGTGAATAATTACATTCATCGAAGATGTCAAAGTCGAAAGGAAAGTTGGATGAACAAAAAATAGGAAAGCAAGAGGTTCTCCAGGCTCTAGTCCTCGCTGATGACTTCGTCACAAGTTTAAATCCAATGCAGAATATTTATCCAAGTATATTGACTCCAGTTGCAAATGCTCACCTCCTGGATTATCTTATTGAGACTCTCATTCAGTCCGGGGTGCAAGAGGTTTTCCTTTACTGCAGCAATTTCATCGATCACCTTCGAAAATACGTATCAGACAAGAATTACACAGACATATCAGTGTCATTGATAATTTCCGATGGCTGCAGATCTCTTGGGGATGGCCTCAGGGATATTGATACAAAGGGAATAATCAGGGGTGATTTCATTCTTGTTCGTGGAGATGCGTTTGTCAATGCTGATCTGACAAATCTGATGGATTTGCACAGGGCTAGAAGGGAAAAGGACAAGGGATGTGCCATGAGCCTCGTTCTCAGAGATCTAGGGTCCACCAATGAGTCCCTTTTGTTCAAAGAAATCTGTCTATTCGTTGCTGATAAACAGAAGAAAAGAGTTTTGTTCTACAAAAAACCGGAGATGGAGGAGAAGAAAATTAAATTTGAGCTGGAATGGTTCTTGGAGCACGACCAGATTGAAATTAATTCTGGATTTGTCGATACTCATGTTTACATGTGCTCGGCTGCTGTTCTCCCACTTTTTTCTGATAATTTTGATTTTCAGGTGATGAATTGAGATTTCAATATTCAATGATTTTCTTAAAATCGTGAATTAATAACAAAAATATAATTTTTCAGACCATGGAGGACTTCATCCGAGGTGTCCTGATGAACGAAGAAATCCTTGACTCTCGAATCTACTGGCAACCATTAAAACCCCACGAGTACGGTCTCCCCATCACCTCCTGGTTAGCCTATCACACATTATCCCGAGATATTCTTCAGCGTCAGGCTTATCCCCTGGCCCCCGAAGTCCTTCCTCCCCTTCGAGGAATAGTTCACTCCTCCAGGAGTACCTACAAGCACAAATCAGCGTGCCTAGCACGAGGCTGTATCCTCCAAAAAGATACAATCGTAGGAAAGAATAGTATTCTCGGTAGCAATACAAAAATTTCGCGCTCCGTAATAGGAGACAGCTGTCAAATCGGTGAAAATGTTGAAATCGAAAATTCGTATCTCCTCGGGGCGGTGACAGTTCATGACGACTGTCGAATCAAGGACAGTGTTCTTTTTTCAGAGAGTTATCTCCATGAAAACGTCAACCTGGATGGATGCATTGTATCTGCAGGCGTGAAACTTGCCCCAAAAACTTCGTACACCGATGTAATAATCCAGCATAATGACGGTAAGGTGGTGACAAAAAAAATGTCTGAGAGAAACGAAGAGGACGAGGAATTGATCTATTTCAAAAAAAGTCTGTTGAAAAATAGTGAGGATCTCTCAGACTCTGAGGAATCAAGCTGTGAAAATGACTCAAGGGCAGAATCTCCTTTGCCAGATGACACCCATATGTTCCTCTCTGAAGTAATCGATAGCCTTCTGAGAGGATATCAGGACAAATTGAATTGTGACAATCTAATTTTGGAAATTAATTCGTCAAGGTACGCTTACAATGTCAGTATACGCGAAGTTACCTATAACGTTGTCAAAGCTATTTTGATGCTACCACTGTATTATCTCAGTGAGACCAAAACCACTTCAAATACTGTCAATTATCAAAAAACACTCAGAGTGATGATTGGATACTTCAATGCAATTTTACAAAATTATATAAAAACGGAGGATGCCCAGGAAGACTGTCTGAGAGCAATTGAGGATGTAGCAGGAAGCACAAACGAGTTCTTGGCGTTTGTTCACCACCTTCTACATCTTTTTTATGATAAAGACATTCTCAGCGAGGAGAAAATCCTTGATTGGTACCACCAGGAGGCTGAAGACGGAGACGAAGTGATTAATATCAAGGTCAGATCTATAGTCCAGCCCTTTATAAAGTGGCTCCAAGAAGCTGAAGAGGATTCCTCTTCTGAGGATGAGGGTTGAAAAATAATACAACTCAATTTTTCGTAATATTTTGAATTCTTTAATACGACCTCAACATTCCTCTTCCCCGCCTTATTCATTCATAATCAACAAATTTGAAACGATTTCAACAGATAGAGCTTGCTTAAAATTCTTTCTTTTTTTTTAGATTATATTTAATAACTCAAATGAGGCAAATTGGAAACGTGATTGTGCGATACTTTTCAGAGTTTTTTTTTAAAGATTAGATTCGTTAGATCCTTCTAATGATATATTGTCAGACATTTTGATTGGTAAACGTCTTTGATAATAGATTTTTCTTTTAGTTGACTTTAACTATTGAATATTTGATGACGCTTGTTATTCGTGAAAGCCGATGTCCTCAACCAGTTCGTGACTGCAGTGATGGCGATGATCTGGAAACTTGATTGCATCGATCCAGTGGCGGAGTCTCGTGCCTTTACTGTTGCAACTTAGAACAAGTCCACCTGGTATGGGCCATTTCGAGGATTAATTTTCTCTTTAATGATCGCTGGTCTAAATAGCAGTAACAATTTACACGAACTATTATATGAGAAAGATAATGGAAAGTCTTACTCCAGGCATGGAAACCATCCACACCCATGGAATTGACTAAAATAATTCGTCCTTTCAATCACTTTTATCTTTTATCTCTTAATACCCTCGCAAAAGGTAAATAGTTGTTATTATGCATGGAATATTATTAACCTATTGCGTGGGAGATCATTTTTGTCCAAGCGATTTTCTTGATGACCTTGCATTTAACGTAATGCAATGCACGAATTGGCGGTAATTATATATTTAAACGAATCCATTAGCCTAGACGATATTTTAGTTTCAATCTCAAGGGTCTTTCATGCATAAATGCAATTCTTGAAATTTTTCTGGACATACCATTGTCTGGTTTTGAATTTGATTTAGACAAGAGGTCAAAAATGTCAAGGAAATTTTCTCACGAATATCTCACCTAGGTAATCATTACTCTTTCCGAAGTCTTTGTCCCACACGGTGAGAACGAGAGCATTTGCCGTTAAATCCGTGAGTCGTGTCTCGAAAGCGAACTCCTCGTTCCACTCTGGATTGAGTGTCTTCCACTTGACACTTGTGGTGTGAGTAACTCCGATGCACTTGGGCACGATCGGTGACTTTTTCGAGTGTCTCCTGGCGGGGCTGTCCCTCGAGTTTTGTATTATCGGGGGACGTTTCACATCGTCGCCCCTTGGGTCCTTTGTCAGGCACAGTTTGACGAATGGGTCAGAAAGACCGTTGCTGTCCATTGGTAGAAGATCGTGGGCGCGATTGATTGTCACCAGAAGAGCTCGTCGACGTGTGCTGTAGCTCAGACTCACATTTATCACCCCACGACCGTTGGTCATGTCCTCGCCCCACACTCTCTCCTCTTGATCCACCTGCAACCACAAATTTCCCAATTCACTATAAATATAAATTTGATTACATTCCCATGTCGAGAATAGGCCCCCAGTGAATTTATATTTGAAACAATATCCGTAAAACTCAATACCTAACAAATTCAATTCGTCAAACTTTTTTAAAAATTCCATTAACTAACGGGAGGGAAAAAAAACACTTAAAACTTTCGATGCACGATGGAAAAAGTTTAAACCCAAATGGTGAATTGAATGTTTTCTCCTTGTAATGAGCTTACGTATTCTATTAAATTCCCTCTTCACTTGGCTGCATCCCCTATGAAATTGGAAAACTTTCTCATCATTCATCGAGCTCTTTAGATAACGTTGAATACCTGGTAATGATCCTCCAGCAATACGTTGTAAAATTTCGTTTGAGAGGGCTGTAGTTCTCGCAACGGAAATCTGGCTTCGCCTAGAAAGTCCCTTCCAGCCGGATCGTCCTGAAGAATCAGGATGTGCAAAGCTTTTCCGCTCTTCAACTGATAAAACCGGTGAAATGAAAATTTATTATTCAATCCAACCGTCTGTTGATTCGCACACCGAGGGAATCATTTACGCCGAATAAATGATATTGTGTTTAAATATAATGAGATATATAAATTTAAATATAATGAGACTGTTAAAAAGTTTTCGGTTGGACGCGGAAATGCATGCAGCAATGTTCCCGGAAAATTAGAATTTGTAGATTTAAATAGGTCTGCCTTGATTCAAGCTATTAGTTCTCCCAATTTTCTCGCAGTCACCCTCTCAATAGTCTCAAGTTAGAAAATTTAATCAAGGTAATGACATTTACATCGTTCTCCATGATCCCGTAGAAGTTGAGCTGCTCGTTGAACTCTGGATCTCGGGTCTTGTGCACCGTCTTGGTTCTCAATCTCCTTGTTGTAGTGGTACTTGCATCTATCGGTAGTATGTTCAATTTGCAGAAAGGATCCGCCAGACCGTGAATGTCCATTGCTCGTAGACCCCTTGCTCTCTCCACTTTGCAATGAAGACACTGGGATGCTGACTCGTACCTCAAGGCTATCTCGAGTGTCCCCAAGTTCTTCTCCTCTTCCGCTTTCTCCACCGTTCCTATTCAACATTCCCCTTTATCCTCTCAGTCCCCAATTACGACACACCCAAAAAAAATCAAATCAAATCATCAAATCAAATGAATTAATCACACCGAACATTTATTGACACAAAAAGCACGTAAAAAATAACATTGTGATAATTACACTGGAACAGAAAGATAAAACAATAATCTCGGATAGCAGGAGTAGAAGGTTCTACTTTATTCCACAGAAAGTCAAGGTCACATACGTTTGCGAGATGAGGAAACATCACATTTTCAGAATAGAGTATTAAAAAATATTTCTCTTCCTGCGCAACGCTTGAGAGAGATAAATCCGGGATAGATTCCATATATTTCCCCATAAAACCACATAAAATCGGTCTAAAGGATATTATATCTACATGAGAAAGTAATTATACAGTGATCTTGAGTGATAAAATTGTAATCTGGTGAAATAGAATAGACACAGTGTAATTACTCTCATTTCAAACTCCCGTAATTAGAATGCACGAAACTTTACACCACCCCCGACTTCATTTAATAAATATTCTAATAGTACAGAGTGTGTACATTCCCTTTGTTGATTTGGGAGGCATGAATTATTTGAAAAGGTTCCACATTCCACTGGCGAAGTGCGTAAATTCCACAGGACAAAAAGGAAATGATTTCTTGCTTAATTTATTCCTTTTAGTATGAACACGAAAGGTGTGAGTCCCGTATGGGATGGAGACGATTGCACACGATAAGGAATAATTATCGCTTTTCCTTCCTTTCTTGATAATTCGATGTTTAATCCCTCTAAACTGCCATGCCATGCACCGTTACCGGAGATCCTGCTTTGAGAGGTACGTGATATCGATTTTTTCCACATCCTCTGAAAGCGGGATTCCCCTACTAAACTAGTCCGAAAACTCAAACTATTCATAAATATGCCTCAACCATGGCCTCTTGATCCACCGTCGTAGCCGATTCTTTTTCTCACCTGTGACGCTTTCCGTTCGCCGATATCCCCACTGTTGACTTCGATCTTGATCGTATCTGGACACCAGGACTGCATCTGTCTCGCTGCTGCCGTTGCTGTTGATACTGGAGCGTTGAATCACTAAAGTATATTAGAAAACAAAAAAACGGTTCGAAATGCCGTGTCGTTAAAAATGAAGATAACGTACCTTGGTCGTCTGGATCCATGTTTTATCGAGCTACCGTCTGAAAACTCGAGGGAACCACGGCTGTGGGCCCTGTCAACAGAGTTACCTTGACTGGAGCTCTTCCTACCACGAAGAGATGATTTTGTTGATTCGCATTGACTAGAGGACTCGTGATTGACGGATTCGGAGCTGCCGACGGCATTGCGAACGTAAAATATTGACGTTTGACTTGTGCTCTGGTCTCTCAGACGACTTGAGGATCTCGAGGGTGGCAGAGGTGAGGTAGAGGATATCGGGGATGATGGAGAGGTCGACGACGAAGAGTTGTTTGGTACAATCAATTGACACTGAGGTGTATGATGCACTTGAAGATGTCCTAGAGTCTCCGGTTGTTCATGGACCTCCGATGAAGTGCGTTTTGGCTGGGGTTCGATATGCACTTCAACCTCGAGCTCGGGTTTCGGTGAGGATGATAAATCTGGATCTGTGGAGAGACTATAGGATAAGAAGGAACGGGTTCGTGTGGGCTTCCGTGAAATTTCCTCATCCGAGGAGGAGTCGTGCTCTGACGGCTCGAGAGACTTGGATCCACCAGTTAGAGTCCACCCAGCACTTCGGGAACTTCCTCGGGGCTTCTAGAGAGGTTTGAAAATATTGTTTCTTTCTCTTGAAAATCCTCGGTAAAACAGCGGGTGATAAACAGAATTTTAAACTTTACCTTTACCTTTTTCTCAGGGAGAACGTATTTCGGGAGACTCTTGAAGAACCAAGCACCACTTTTTTTCCACATTTCTCTCGTTTCTGTACATATTCGGCAGAGAAATACTTTAGATGGTACAAGCTGCTTGCTAGCACTACCTGATACTTCGGCGGATGGCAAATTATTGATTGACGCTGATGTTCCTCTTCTCTGATGAGTCTGCAAGTTCGTCGTTGACGATCTTGATGCCCTACATGTCTCAACTCCACACTTCTGACACACGTATTTTCTACAATCACGACACAATGTTGGACCAGCCCCGAGGACTGTAAACTTTTCACCGCACAAAGCGCAACAGCACATGCAGCGGTTATTACGAATACATCTGCTACCGCAGTTTCTGTTTGTTGCTCTCGTTGATGTTACGACTGTGACATTTCGTTTCATATTTTCCAACCGCTCAACCAATTTACCCACCCGTTCTTGCTCCGATAAATCTAATGCTTCAGCTCGCTGGATCACCTGGAATGGAGGTGAGTCTTTATGACGATTACGTTGATCATTAAAGCTAGGTGATGACTGTTTGGCTTCACCCGTTTCACCTCATGCATACCCATTTGTTATTTAATCGAAAATTTTAACTATACACCAGCAATATCATCTTTGATGTCAACCTACTAAAGGTACTATACTACATCTTCTTTGATAACGCATCGTAAATATGTAAATTGTTTATATAAATGTAAAATGCCGGTCTGCCAGAAAATATTGTTTAATTAAATACATTTTTTATTGATGAATACTTTTTTATCCATTTTTTTCAGTCACCCTCGGAGCAATGACTCGTCACTTTTAAGAATTAAAAAAGCAGCTGAGGGGTGAATAGGGAATTTTCATTCCACTTTTTTATTCCCCACGTCGGAGAAAACTAAATATTTCTGTGAATTCACAATTCCGTAAATTAATGGAAGAGAAAAGACACCAGTTTTGCATTTTCCAGTGCTCGTTGTAATGGCTCTAATCATTCCGGATAGTTTATCGATTGAATGCATCGGATGGCGGTTATCACGAGATTCGCGAAAGTCCCAACTGGCTAATTGTATCTCACCTGAATTATCCGCTCCCTCTCTGCATCACTCAATGGTAAACTTGCACTTGAAGAGCTTGAGGATAACCCACTAGGGCAGGATGTTGTCGAACAGCGCGAGTACTCGTAGGTGCGTGAATCTAAGGATGCACTTTTTACGGACCATCCTGTTCTCAGTCTGAAAATTCAACATACAAAATCTCGGCATAATCACAGCATACACCGAAAAAAACATAATCCCAAAAATTCAGCGGTGCGGTAAAATACCCTTTACGCACGACGTGCGGAAAAGTAACTTTCACGCACGCTCCGGTTCACTTCGCATTAATTCATGAATAATATAATTATGATAACATTAATACTATATTCACTACATTATTATGTGTCTTTTTTATTTAATTAACCGGATATTATGTACGTCTATTACATTTTTCAAAATAAATAAATGTCCGGAAAAGAAAACTTGCGTCGATTTATTTTTCCGTGTCCTTTCAAAATTTGTGTGTGGCAAAAACCCGGCAATCGCTCTATTTGAATTTTCATCGATTTGACTTATTCGTTTAAAGTTTGTGATTATAAACTTACTTTGCTCTCAATGCCAGCTGCCTATCATTGGGGCAAACCCATCGCCCACTTCCACTCCTCTTGACCCCAGAATAGTAACTTGCATCCATTATGAAGTTGCAAAATTAACTCCAACAATTTCACTGGCGATCAACACTCACCAAAATCATCGAATCATCTCGTCGGAGACATGCTCGACCTGCACTACTGGAACAGTGAATAAGCCGCATATTCAATAATAAATTGTAATCCTTATTAAATATTTACACTTGCATTAACAACACAAATCCTAAATACGTGAATTTCACCATCAAATTAACAAAGAACGATAATGGTTCAATTGAAACACTAAAAGCCTGAGTCAATAATTCAAAGTTAATTAAAACGATGAAACCTCACGGATAACGACTATCTAATAATCCAATAGATTTTAATTAAATTCTCGATAAACCAATCGTCAGTTATGTCGAGCAAAGTGTAGATAGTTCATCCCCGAACTCCGCATTCCGCTCTATCTATTTTTCACTGCTAAATGAGGGCATTTTCTCCTCAAAATACCTCTACACAAAAAAAAAAAAAAACCCAGAGAGCAAGGAAAAAAAAACCAATAAAAACCGTCGGAAGAAGGACTAAAAGCCGGAACTTTTTCATCAGCAACCGGGGATTTCCGCAGTAATTTGCCAGTGAGTATCAGGACGAATCGTATCGCAGAAAGCTTGAATGAAGGAAAAATTAGGGGTAAAAAATCATTGAAGCGAAAGAGAGTAGAGATGACCGAAAAAGTAGAATGGAAATGGGTTGTGGTGAGTTGAGAAGAGTGGAAATAGTGGATAAAAAAAAAAAAAAAGTGATTGGAAGGGAAAATGATTTGTGTATACGAGAGAGAAACGGTAAAAAAGAGAGAGAGATGATGGGAAGGACTAGAGAGGGCTGTTGTATATAGATTTTGCCCGGGTGACCCAATTGAGCTCTCCTTGTCTGTCCCTGTGATATTCCCCCATGAAAATAGGGGGCCAGGAGGGAAGAAGGCCTGGCGTTACCGTCCGACCCTGGCCCCATAATGCCACATGCCGCCTCGTATTTTCACCTCTTTTACCCCACCTTTCACCCCCTTCCAGTCCCTTCTAACCCCTTCCAGCGCCTTCCACCCCCTTCCAGCGCCTTCCACCCCCTTCCAGCCCCCATCCACCCCCTTTCAACCTCTTTCACCCCCACCCAGCCCCTTCCACTAACAGTACCAACATCGCTCCTTAATTCCTATATATCTCGCATGTGTTAAGCGTGCGCGTTTCTCTCAACTGTTGCTGTTCAAGGTCAACCTTCAAACCCCAACTTCCACCCCCTCCCACCCCCCTTTCACCCATTTTCATCCGCTCCTGTTACCTTCACCCCTATTCCCCTATTCCCCTATTCCTCTCTCCTTGTTCTCCTTGTTCTCCCTGTTCTCCCTGTTCTCCCTTTTCTGGATATTTTTCCCTTTTTTATTTTTTTTCCGTCATCTCCCTTTTTGTGTTCTAAATGGACACGTATCCTCATTAAAAAATTTATCAAATATATTGTGAGGTAAGGGCTGGATAACTAGGAACTCGTAAGAAATATGTGGAAAATAAAAATTTTAAATTTCAACGGTCGTCATAATATGGATTGATTTAATTTCTTTAATAATTTTTGTATTTTATTTTTATGTGTCTATGATAACTGCAATAATATACAATAATTATTATTAGGATATATCTGATTATCGCAGGATATATATTCTTTTTGTTGGATTATTTTGGCGGAGTTCCAGTGTGAGACTGATTGTGTGATAATTTTACTGAAAAATTTACAGTTTAATAAAAATACAAACAATGAGAGTCGAAATTGGAGATAGTAGAAATAGAAACCAACAAATTGTGGATTAAAAGGTTGAATCAACCGGATGCGGGTGCAACAAAGTTTATAAGTAACATGACCTATATCTCTGCCGCTTTAATTGATCAAAAGAGTTAACGATAATCCGAGGATTACAGGAATTGTCCCAGAAGAAATGGTTGAAAATAATTTATATTGCAATCGAAAAATTGACCCACTTTTCCTGGAATTATTCCTATTGATTGTGAATTAATTTCGAATTAGCGAATTGATTTTTTAATGATAATTCAAAAAACATATGAAGATTGAAAACTTGAATAATTTCAATCCATTCCGCAGAACATTGTATAAAATATTGTTTAAAAAATGGAAACAGTATTTTATTCATTTTCTTTTTTTTTCCTTTCACGATTCAACATTTCCCCTTGACTCCCGTGTCCTCCATAGGTTTCCTTCCGGTTTTCCTCAAGGTAGAATTATTTTTATCTTCCTTTTAAACAAAATCCCTATCATATGTATAAT